TCCGATGTGCTTGTATGCGGGAGCCCCTGCTCGACCGCCTCGTTGAGAATCGGGAACCCCTGTTTGACCGATGTCTGTGTGTGCGGGAACCGCTGTTCGACCGCCTCGTTGTGTGGCTCCGTGGGCCATCGCTCTCTCTGTGTTGACTACTAGTCGTGGCAAGTTCGTTCACGACCCTGACGTGAGGCCATCGGATGAAGCGACCAGCAAATGAGTAAGCACTTCACTGACGTCATAACCGCTTCGTCGTTTGACGGACCGAGATAGCCAATCTATCTTCGGCTGATACCGTGACAGCCACGGTATCCCAAGTATACAATTAAATGCATAGTTCATCTCGTACACCAAAAATCGTCGTTGCTCTGGAAACCGTCGAAAGTGTACGGTAAAACCACTGTTTTACGCGGGACACGTTTTGGTTGTCCATCGGCAAGTTTGACAACGATGTCACCTGGACCTTCTCGAACCGTGACAGTCGACGGGAGAAGAGACAAACAAGATGCACGCAAGAAGTTGTTGGAAGCGCCAGAATCCAACAACGCTCGGAGTGGTCGCTTCACTTCAGCGACGATAAGACTGATAATAATCAGTCTCGAATCATCGCGCATGGTGGTGGCATTGAAGTGAGTATGAATCACTTTGGGGATAGGAGCCCGAGCTGCCACCTGAGTACTCGGGGCTCCATTTCTGCCACCACGCCTACTGGAACCGCTCGTTTTTTTGGCGGGACCACCGACGACACAGCGTCTCCTCGTGAGACAGCTGTGTTCATAGTCACCGGCGCAGGTGCTCGACAGACAGCCGCACGATGGCCTGTTTTACCACAGCGAAAACACTTCATCGTGTTAGGATTGCGAATGTTGCGGCTTAATGATTTGCCGCGACCACGAGAGGACTCGATTGCATCAATTTCCATTGGCTCTGGGCCAGACGTCCGGGAATGTTGTGACGCTGCGTGCAGGTACGACGACGCGACAGTGTAATCCTCACGAAGCGCGAGGGCAAATGCCTCCTCGAGGGACTTTGGCTCAGCACGTGTGAGGCAGTAACGCGTCATGCCCTCCTGCATACCAAAAATAAAGACATGGAGTTGTGAAGCCATGTCAATTGGCTGCGTGGTAATGCAAGAAGCAAGATGACGTGTCTTCTGCACGTAGTCACGCATCGAAAGCTTGCCCTGTCGGAGTGAAAAGAAATCTGCACGCAAGCGAGATTCATCTTGAGGAGGCTCGAAAGCCAGTCGTAAGTCACGCTGGATATCGTCCAGCGTAGGAAACGCCGGCTCATCTAAGACGAGCTTTCCGAGAGCCCATTCCTTGGCTTTGTCAGCAAGACGAGACAACAGGAAATTGACCTTGGCAGTCGGAGCGTCAATTAACCTTGATGCTATTGCAATATCCACCTCGCGAAACCAGCGAATAAGGGGGAGACGATCCGGACCATCACCGGAGTACGTTGACGTCTTCATCTTGATAGCGTCATGGTGCGAAGTGCGCGAGGGAGTCAATACTCGCCGATTCGCTTCGGCGAGCTCGCGCACCATGAAGTCTTGGATGGCGGCACGTTGATCATCAGGCGTCGCTGTGCTCAGCAGCGACGTCACAATAGTTTCGCCAGACACCGTTTCGCGGCGGTGTAGTGTCTGCCACTCCGCCGAGGTGAGATGTGAAAAATCAGAATGCTCCAGCGAGACCGCTGGAGCTACCGAAGTATCACCTATGTTCATCTCGAATCTGGTCATTGGAAGGACTACGAAGTGCTACCAGGTGTAACGGGCTATTGACCCGTTACCGTCTTACACTAAAAGGGCGTTGAGGAAGCGCTCTTAATTAACTCGTAAATATAACTCTGTTTTATTTTTGTTTTAGTTTTAATTCGAAGTAAGTGCGAATATGTTCCCTAGCTCATGGGAACCACTCAATATGGAAGTCAATTTGTTATTGGCTAATTATTGGGTCTGGCATCCCAATAATAAACCGATAATAGAATGACGCGCAGTATCCGCTAATCGGATACTGCCCTATGCCTACTTATGTAATTATGTATTATCCCTATAACTACTTATGTAATAGGTTGCCCCATTACACGGGGTCCCGGGGTACCGGAGGTACCGGGGTACTAGGGCCCAATGTCCGAGGGTGCAGAATCGGTACACAGAATATCGAAGATTACAGAAAGTACAGGGTACCAAGGAGCCAATTCTTCCTCCAAGAGTCGACACGGGGCACTACCCAGATCAAAGGGTTAAGGTTAGGCAAGAAAAGCATACAAAGTATAAGGTAAATAAACACACTTGAATTTGCATTACACGTGGCAGCTCCAAGCGCCCCTACCAAGCTTCTCCGTCACCTCACCTATTCCGGGCGGGATACCCTTTGGCCCACCGACGTCAACAGGTGTTAGCTCAAGCTACGCAAGTTGAACCTCAGGATAGTTGGCCTGAGGTGTCAAGACTCTACGAACCGCTACAGGAAGCGGTTTTTCTACGGGGAAGAACACAAAGGGGTCCAAGGACCAAGAACAGTCAGCCACCAAAGGGGTACGTAGTACCAGGTGCATCGCTCTCGACTAAAGTCGATTGAGCCCAAGAAACCCGCCCCAAGTGAAGTATATCCACTCGGGGACCACCAAGTCCAAGTCTTATACAAAGACCAAGTCTTTAAGTCTTCTGCGTCTAACGAGGAGCAAGACCAGCCAAGCCGACGGGTACACAAGGTGAGACCCAAAATTGACGCGACACGGTATCGGGATACCCTCCGTAAGTCGGCAGTCCGGCGCTGTGTGTGTTTGTGGTTTTCTCACGTCGTTTGAGAATCCACTCCACCACATTAATTACTATAATAGTAATTATAATATTCAGACTTTGCTATTGGACGACGTATCGTCTAAACATCTGTGTATGATGTACTTAGTACAGCGTTATCGATTATGGAATCCTAATCGATAAGATACGGTATTACCGAATACCGTATCTTTAACGCTTATACTTAATACCTCTCTAAATAGAAGTAACATAATGCATTATATGCAATAAAGGAAACTTCAACCGTAAACTTTCGGAATGATGTTACAACCGTCGTGTAACCCCGTTACACCTAAGGTATCTCGTACCCATTTAGGCCTACCCATGAAGTATCGAATTCTTAACGAACCGTGTAACTTTTAGCCCATTACACTTTCTCTGCTATCCTTTTTCTTCTATGCATTCCTATCTACGCTAGTTATCCTACCGTTCCTGCTTTTAAAATACAGAAGGAGGGAGAAAATGGTGAGATGTGGTGCCTGTCGCAGACAAGTTCACCAGAATTGAAAAGGCCTATTGAACTTAAAGGTTGGAAGCTTTCCAAAGAAGTGTTTTTGAAGAGTGAGTTTTATTACCAACATTATGTGCGCCCTACCTACCAGCACCCTGATTTGCAGCCGCTCCTTGCTCCTGCACGATGTTAGCACAAGATGTGCTCACCTTCCGTCTTTATGTCGCCTGCAAACCAAAATATACAACAAAAAAGGTAATCCTGAGAAACGGCAGTTTCTTGATGTCTTGAGACCTGGTAGCAATTAAAACACCGTTTTCCAACAAGACCAACCTTCTTCGTGATACCTGCTCCGTGCTCGATGTACTTCAGTCCTCAATCCGCTTATAGAGTCCTCCCGCGACCTTCAACTGTACTATACGCACCCAAACCCCAAACTTCCCTTGACATGTAGTTAAGTAGCTTTTTCTATAAACTACAAGGATTATACAGGCATTTTGCCCTACTTCTAACTTATAACTTAGCGACCATAGAACGAGCTCGGTGGACATTATATTTGTAAACCTACAGGAGGTCATAACTAATCGGAGGATAACTTATTGGGGGGGGGGGGGGTCTGTACATACAACGCATTTCGTCATCAATTTAATATTGTTCATTTATTTAATATTGTTCATTTACAGCACAGTTATTTATTTGCCATTTTTTAGTCGATATTAAGTGCAACAACTTGCACCATCGAACACAACAGCCTCTGAATAAATAATCGATATGAAAAATAATAGAGATGCTGCTATTTTTCAGAAGTGCATAAGAGAACACGATACGAATTGCACTTTGAGATATTTTAGGTTCAGTCATGGACCTTATAGATTTGCATCTGGTCGCGTCTTCTCGAGCGAGGGTTCAAGATGTAATAATGGATAGTCAGGCTAGTAGATAGCCGGCATTCTATTTCATCCGTTAGGCCGCACGAGATGCATACTTAGAGAGAAGAACAGACCGTCTATTTCAAACATTAGGGATTGGTAAGATGTCTGGAGTGCTTCTACCAGGACTTCGTCATTCTTCGCCTCGCTGGCTCAATCTGCTGGCTCAATCTGCTGGCTCGAGACGTCGGGCGTCACGGGGGACACTCCGAAAAGGGCACGTGGAATCGGGTATCCAGCCCGAGGTGTAAACAGTGGCTCAATGATCGCAACAAGCACCGGGCACCACACCGATCAGTCCCGATCGACCGCTGATGCACCTGGACGGGCCGATCAATTCACGTTCTTGGCAAGTTCACTTCGTGGGACCGAGATTCGCGCTCAGCGATCGAATCGGCGTCTTGAAGGCTGACGTAGAATAGCAGGAACTATTGGGGAAAGAGGGAATGATAACCGCGGTCGTCGATCCTCTCCCCCCGGGGGTAACAGGGTTGGTGCTCCCCTTACGGTTCGCACGCTGCGCTTGCCCCCCATAGCGCACGCAGCAGAGGGAAAACCTCCCCCCTCTTATCCTGGGCCTCCCGTTGGAGGGACTTCCCGCCCTGGTCGGAGGGGGCCGGTTGACCGGCTCTTTGTAGGTCTTCGTCTCTTGGCCGTTGTTGGACGAGATGCATACTTGAGATGTGACTCCACCCACTTCGGCTCCCGCAAGGAAAAATTCCCGCCGAACTAGGGTAGGGGCTGAAGCTTGATGTGGCTTGGGATTAGCTGCTTCGGCCCCTATCATTTTTTATATTGCTGTCAAGCTCACACTCGCATGGCTGTCAAGTCCAACATAGCACAGTTTGCCTACGCAAAGGCACTGATTGTTTTTGCGCTGGCCGCGTGGTTAGCTGCAAGCGGGACTGCCGCCGAATCGAGACCTGAGGATGCCAGACACAGCTCTCAAGCTTTGAGTGCGGCTCACACCCCGGTCTTGATCAAGCGGATGTTAAGGTCTCAGGAGGTTATGACAATGGCTGATCATACCAGCATTTCCGAAGAGCGCGTTATCTTTTCGGAAATCGATATAAGTCTGGACCAGATTTTGGCAAAGATCAAGGAGACAATTCAAGGGTGGTGGAAGAGGCTGAGGCAGCTGATGAAGAGGACCCCAACGGAAACGCCTGAAATTACTGAAAGCGGCACAGGAAATCCTGAAATTGCTGAAAGCGGCACGATAAAATCTGAAATTTTTGAACGAAATCCTGATTCCTTTGAAAGTGGCACGATAAAACCTGAAGAATCTGAAAGCTGGGCCCGTCTCGTGCAGTTAATTCACACGGAACCATCAAAGGAAACGGCAGAGATCTTCAAGATGTTAGATCATGAGATTAGCGATGTATCTCTTGTATATATGATTTACAAGACAATCGAGAGTGCCAAGAGCGACAAGACGAGTGAAGTGATGGTGGACCTGCGAAACGCACAATTCAAAAAGTGGTTGAAACAGGAAGCAACCCCAGAGGGAGTCAAGAGTATGTTGCAAGCAGCAACTAAGTCCGACAGTCCGGCGCGCAAGATATTCGACCGAATTGCAAAAGATTACGACAAATTGTATGGTAAAGTCAAGGTAGGGGTGGAGGATCCGAGCACCAGCGATGAAACTATGAAACTCAATCTATAATGACAGTTTTCTTTGAACACTTTACCGTCTCGGTAGCATCTGCATGTAAAAACAACGCAGCCAATACACACGAGTTGGTCAATGTGAAGCATATCATCGAGTACGCGTCCATGATGACAAGACATCTTACCTTCTTGGTCTGCTTGCATCACACAGAACCGTCGTCGTAGCTCCTGACTGCAGCCATCTTCGTGAGTACTATGTTTGTCCGTATCTAGCAAAGTCGAATGATGTGTTTCACAGCTTTCCACCACAGCTGAGTGCTTTGAGTCAGCTTCTCGTATGCTTCCAGTTTCCTGGGTGGGTTTGTTTCTGGCGTCCAAAGATATATGCACTTTACCGGCTCGTCGCGATACATCCAGATCGGATGACCTCGATTGATGCGACTCCATTTCGCTGACACAAGGAGAGATCGGCTGAATGATACCGTGTGCTACACGTCATTCAGTACAACATTAAATTATAGCTGTTTCATGGAGATAGCATAGCAAGAGACAAAAAGACGTACATGTAGTCTGCGAGAGGCTGCGGCCATTTAGTCCAATCCGTTCATGCCTGATACTTTTCCGCAGCGAGATGTTGTCCACATCCCATCGCTATTTTTTTTCGTGGTATCTGCGCTTTGATGCTTGATCATCGTTCTAGATCGTATCGAGACCATTTTCAATGTCTCCCCAATCCATTGCTGTGGTCCGAGTCGGCATTCAAATCATTCTTCCTTGACCGCTTCTTGCGTTTGGCAGCTGCAGAACGCTTTATGACAGTATCCAGTTGAGGGACAACAGAAACACTTTGCACTTCACCTACTTCGCTATTGTCGTCTGATAGCTCAACACTCGCATACTCTCCAATAGATGGAAGTCTTTGCCGAGCAGCCACTTTAGTCCGTCCTGCAAATTGCATTGCCAAATCATCAACATTTGTTTGCAGCATCGAAAAAGTAATATTCACATGTCAACGTACCTTTTGAGTGATTCATTTTGCGTTCTTGACGGCAAGCTGAGCAACAGATTTTGAGGTTTTGCTCATGTGAGGTGAGACAGAACGTCCGAGTTCTTTTCGCTCCGTCTTCTTTGTGTTGGACAGACCATCTGACTCTCGCTTAGAGTATACAACGCTTTCTTTTTGACCGACTAGTGTTAGCATCGTCTGCTTCGACAGATATTGCCGGACGATGCTTGGACTCCCTTGGTAACGTACCGCCAGCAAACTTGGGCATTTTCAAAGAAGCATCGGATTGCAGCACCCATCCCAAAGCTCGTTCAAAACTCTCACCAGTCGATCCGATGGCCAGCCATCATATTGTAATTTCCACCTGAATTTAATCAGATATCAGCCCTAAAACTCAAGGAGGTTTACTTCTACTTAAGAAAACAAAAAGTGACAAAAGGTGTCGTGACGGAACGCCTGATTCTATGCGACGTGTGGGAAATACATTCTCGTAACATGCGATCAACCTGATGTAAATCCTAGTGAATTTAGCTAATTCCCCTTCATTTGTTGACTAAAAAGTACAATGGGGTGGCAGACATTGGCTAAAGTGGCGCTATGGCTGCCTGTGGGTATCACAGTAAACGCATTGGGCGTGAGTCTGGCAAGCGTGAAAGGCCGTTCCATGCAGCCAGCACTTAACAATGGACTCACGCAAGACACAGTGCGTGATCGTGTGCTACTGGACAAGTTCTCGGTTCAGATGCGACATCGCTACAGGAGGGGCGACGTGGTTGTGCTCGAGTCTCCCAGTGCAGCGGGTGAGTACCTGATCAAGCGACTTGTGGGACTCGAGGGAGATCTAGTGACAGACCGCAATGGACGACATTGTATGGTACCCCCGGGCAAGTGCTGGGTCGAGGGTGATAACCCCACGTTTAGCGACGACAGCGACTCATTTGGTCCCGTACCACTTGCACTTATTAATTCACGTGTGTTGGCGGTTGTGTGGCCTCCTAGTGAGATGAAGATTGTACGTGGAAAACTACCGGATCGAGTCAACGGATAGAGGGAGGAAACAGAAAAGGAGGAAACAGTGAATGAATGACAAGCAGGGACAATTACAACATGTGATTCATTGAGTTGAACTTGTTGAGGTGAGATATAATAAAATGGACATGTAGATGCTTTTGAATGATGATCTTTTGCAATTATAATGATGCAGGGTGTCATGAAGTTGACGTTCACTTACGTAGTAAGGTGTCCATGGAACTGGCAAGATGACTGTTTGTGACTTTGGTGTATCTGCAACGTCGGACACGACTCTTTGTAGTTGACATTCGACGTTGGGAATCGTGCAATCGTGAGGAAGTAATACATTGTACAACAAACCGAACGGAATGAAAATTCGTAAACGTTGCACGTATTCGACGTGGAAGTTCTATGTTCATTTGAATGGGTGTGCGATCAATCATTACTTTCATGTATCGTCAAAACAGCAAGCACAGAGAAACAAGGCAAGACATTGATGGACAAGAAATGCAAGCTCTTTTTGTATATACACCTTGTGAACACACTATAATACATGACGGATACCAACAGAGGCACTGATAGATAGAGGGGTTGGTTGAAAACGAGAGGAGATGACACCAAAGAAACTGCTACGAACAGTCCAATGATCTCAATTGCAAAAGCGGCGGATATGGGCCGAGTCCGACTCGCTAATAAGCGCGTTTGTCTTGCAGTCAATGGAACAGAAGTCATCTGCGGGTGCAAGTGCTTTCTGGAACGATTGCGTGCAGTTATGACACTTGCTTGTCTCCGAGTGGATGGTAGTGTCATAGTGCGACGACCGGTTCTCGAGTGTCACTTCCTCGCTCACAATGTAAAAAGCACTGCGGCCTGAGCCATTCCAGGGTTTAAGCGTCACGTAGCCATAGTCTACCAGACGCAGGAACAGTGCAGCACATCCCGTGCGGTTCGACATGATGCCAGCATCCATGAGCCAGCTCACAGCTTCCGACTGTACAAAGTATTGATATTGTACTTTGGAACGTTTGTTCCGTGACGTCAGAGCCAGCACCTCTACGGCGCAAAAGACAAGCTCCTCGTCGACGTCACCCGGGAGCTCATTGTCTGAGAATTCACTGGACGCAGCCGCCGACTCGAGACCGAAGAGTGAGTTCATGGAACTGGACGAAGCCAGTGTGGACTCAGCCAGTGCGTGGCAGTGAGTACACACACGCACGCGGCCCTTAAAACCAAGTTCCGGCAGCCGCACCGAGAAAGGGGAACACTCGCCACACACGAGTTCTCCACACGCGCGACAATGATGACGACGTATCCAGATGGAAAAGTCATTGCCACAGCAGAGACACGAGTCGCTTGCCGCATCAGGACGCCATTGGGGTGGACTACCCGGTTGTTCCTTGTCATGTTGGAGACGATTGACACCACCAAACGGTGAACCGCATGCGATCATGGTTACAGCCGTCATTGAGTCTGATTCAGATTGATCTCTTGAAGCTCTCGAATTGTTCGACGGACGCAAGACAAGCGAAATCCGATAGTGAACTAACGGTGTAGTTTGCAGCCGAACCAGAAGTTTGTCGCGTCAGAAGATACGGATGAGGTTCTTTCGCTTGTACTCGCCCCCTTCACGGAGCTCATCACCTTTGAAAACTCGTGACATTTTCCGATTTTTAGAGACTTTTTGGCAACATCAGAAATCCATTCTTTTCATAATAAACTCATACCCTTTGTTACGAGTGAGTCAGCTCTATTTCAAACGTTTGACGAAAATTTTGATAAGAAGGTCTTGCCACTGCTGTACACACTCACGTATATTATTGTAGTAAGAGGGAGGTGCACGTCGGGTTTTTCTAAAGTAAGGGGTGCGGTTCATTTCGCAGATGTCATAAGGATTTGCACGTTTAACACCGTCTTGATTTCAAGACCTGACTCGTCTGAGACCAACCCTAGTGTGTGTCCTTATTGGCGACTATCGCGATATTGTTATGGTGCCATATGTATGTTGTATGTTACTGCTAGTACGAGTAGCGTACGGTAGTCCCGTTCAATGTTGTTTGGTCTCTACTATCGTTATATGTTAATGGCCATGTGAGCCGACTCAGAGACTTTGACACAATACTGATTCTTTCTCGCGAGAGAAATTAGAGAGAAAATGGCCTGATTTCGCAGCATTTGACTGACTTTTTCTCATTGTCGCAACGTAGTTGAAGCGAAACGAGTATCCGCTGCATCTCGCCGTCAAATGACGAGTGTAATGCATTTGGAAGTGTCTCAATTCAGAAAATGTCTTGCTGCGGTGAGGTCGCCATTGCTTTTGTCTAACGACCGAAAGCTCCGCTTGAAAACGTTGCGCACCTTCACTGCAGCAACATTACTCGAGACTGCTCACTGATAATCTGGTGTCGTACCAACGTACGGCGCTGGCTATCCATCGGTTTTCGCACCGTATGTAGTAGAAAGTGTTGCCTGATGAAAAAAGACTCGCATTTGAAACCGACACCTTCTCTTTCTCTCTCTCGACCATGTTGAAGCAGAAAGACTTTGATGACAGTATACAACGCGGTAAATAGATACCACCAGTGCAGCGTGATGTCATCCATTTTTATGCGAGTTTATCGGTCACATCAGGTGGAAGTCTCCGCTACACCGTATCTTAGTCTTCCTCTATGTTGACAGTTACCACCAGCTGTAAAGGCGGAAAGTGCTTGAAATCAATGGATGGGGCGCTTATTATCGTACAATGAAAAGAAGACGAGCTGATCCGTTGCTCCCATTTATTCAAGCGTGCAATCGCTTCACACGGTTCCTTTCTTTCACTAAAAAACGTTGAAGCTTTTCACGCCTCAACAGACACAAAAAGCAAGAGGGGGCATCGTCAGCATGATTCAATACCCCGAGATAAGCTCGAGATCGCGGCAAACGGGCACTCTTTTGCCACCTCAATAGTGTCTCCCATCATGGCATTCCCTGGAATGGATGGGACGCCATAATATCTTATAATGGCATCGATGTTGTCATTGAGACAGGACGGACCGAGCTACCACCTGTATTGGACAACAGTATCATATCTTTTCGATCGTTTATCGAGTACGATCGATACTCACGTTTCATGACTTGAGCAACTAGTATTATGCGCATTGTTGTAATCAGCAGGTACCAATCAAACAGACAGACCATGCAATGCATCCCGGTGTTGCAGCTACTTATTAAATTAGTCTGCTTGCTAAATCACCACCACCAGCACAAGTTACGCTGGACTTCAACATGTCCGGCACTGCTTTGTTCAATGGCTACGGCTTTGCTAACCCGATCTAATGTACTTTCCCCTTCAAATGGATGGAAGCGAATGGATGTAGCCATTTCAGATCGACCAACGGTGAATTTTGGCTTGCTTGCTAATGACACGAGATAGAATCTTATACTAGATCCACCAGTTACAGATGACCGACTTGACGTGCACAATCTTGCAGGTTCACGTTCTCAGTTGTGGTTCTTGTAAGGTAAAACGTTACGCGTGCTCTGCTTTGATAAACCTCAGCCATGTTTAAGATGGAGGCGTTGGGTCGTGCGTATACGATCGAAGCCGATGCAACAAGGTGATGGCAAAAAAGGGTTGAGCTCTTCGTTTGCTTGGACGATTGCAAAATCCAATCGCGATTCACGAAGACTTTTTTTGCTTGGATTGTCTTGCAGTTACTGTAGTCATCGACCCAAATGTCACGGATGACTTTCTAAAAGGTATGATTGTTTCGAAGGGAGATTGTGAGAGCGATGCTCCTACCTGGCCGCAAAAAGCTCCAAGACATTAAAAAATTGCACGAGCAATAATGTTTTGGCAATCGACTGGTGCTTCTCAATTGCCTTCATCACAACCGCATTTTGTGATTGTCGATGACGACGTGCAGCATTTCTCAAGATGCTGCTGCTTCTGTTCACGTCTAGGAATTACCTAGATATTCGGGAGTTGTATGCTAACACCACAGTCCGACGCTGCTGTCAGTACATTCCCTCACCCTCACTAGCATCAGCAAGGCTAGCAACAGTGATAGCTATTCTACAAACATCCTTATCTCACGAGAAGCAGACCCGCTGCACCATGGAGATATATTTCACAATCGGCACCGCATACGTGTCTACACGATAATGAGTACGTACAGGACACCCCGTGCGCAACAGCAGGCCCGAAAAAATGACAAGCAAAATACATTTGTTTCACCCTCGGTCTCAGTATGCTGTTTCCTTTGGGTCTTTCATGTATTGCTCGGTATACAAGCATTTTAGGTGATTTCTCGAGCTGCCACATCAGGCCACGTGCCGTCCTCTAAGACCGGCCAGTTGGTTGAGTTTCGTTCGTGAACAGGTACTAAAATTTCCCGCGTACTCATATTCACTTGCGAGAGTTCTGGACACATCACACGCAATGGACACAAAAACACGTCACGCGAGCTGCAAACATCCTTTCCTTACTGTTTGCTTACCTTGTAAAGTGAAATTAAAAAGCGCGGGCGCGGCTACATCGTTTGGCAGCTTCAGATCTGTCTGTCGTAGTTCATCAAAGAACGGGTGCGCGGCGGCCTCCAGCGGTTTCACACGTCTTCAGTTGACACACAACAACTTCTTAGTACCCACTAGTTTCATTTCCACCCTTTCATCTTAAAACGACTTACTGCTTCGGATCGTAGACCAGCATTTTCGACAGCAAATTAATCGCCTCAGGAGGAGTTCTTGAACGAAAAATCTTGCTCCAGGAATGAGCTTTAATCTGTGGGAACTGGAATTCCGTATAGTTTGGGTTCATTGCTTCAATTTCCTCGCGTTGTGGAGTGCCCAGAACCTTAATGATTTCCACCAATTGATCTACACCACTTTCACCAGGGAATAAAGGCTGACCCAGAAGCAGCTCTGCACACACACAACCTAATGACCAAATATCTGAAACCAAAAGAAAAGATAAAAAAGTCAACAAAAAGATAAAATCTAAAACTCATCCTCAACAAAAACTCAGGACATTACTTACCGATAGCAGTGGTATAGTCCGTAGCACCGAAAATAAGTTCCGGAGCACGATAGTATCGCGAACAAATGTAAGACACATTGGGTTCGTTTTTCTGTAGTACTTTGGCACTGCCGAAATCACAAAGTTTTACTACATGAGATGTAGGATCCAACAACAAATTTTGCGGCTTGATATCCCGATGGCAAATGCCTGTCGAGTGAATGTAAGCCAGTGAACGGCAAATCTGGTAAATGTAGAGCTTTACTAGTACAATGGGCATGTACTGTTTGGCCTTTTGAAGTTGTCTAGCGACACCATAGACTGTGTCAGGAATGTACTCCAGTACCAGATTAAGATACAATTCATCCGGTTTTTCCCCGTTACAGTAAAAACAATGTTTTAACTGCACAATGTTCACATGATGTAATTGCCGCATAATCTGGAGCTCTCGATTCTATCCAATAAAAACGAATAAAAACAATAAAATAAAATGCACAAAACAAACCAATAGACTAAAAACCACTTTTTGCGCGCACCTTGAAGCGTTTATCCTGCAACACCTTTTTTATAGCAACAATTTCTCCCGTTTCCTCCACTATGGCCTGGAATACAACGCCAAATGATCCATTGCCAATAATTCGTTCCGCTGAATAATGAATTGTTTTTCCCTAAATAAAATCATTAAAACACATAAAACCAAATTAATATTTCAGATTTTGTCGTCTGTTTTTTGCTTTTATCTTTTATATTTTCGACATACGTCCGATAACATATGGGCCGAGTCCCCGACTATAATGCCCGTGCTCTCATTGCGCATATCCTCCCTCTTCTTCGTTGCGGATGCCGTCGTCTGGACGATTGCGATCTCATCGTCCGTATTTAGTGGGAAACTTGTCGTATTTTTTGACGCTTTGCCGTCACTTATAGACGTGCCGTCGCTCATGGACGAGGAGGGGGTGAGAAAAATAGGGTAGGGGGCAGAGAGAGGGAGATCTCGTGCTTTGTTTTAGTCAAACGTTTAAGGCCTTTTTTCTGCGTTTTTATTCTCATTAAGATACAATTGGATGAATATTAAACCAATCGATGTAGGATGTTGCTATCGTTCATTAATATCAGTACTTTGTTTTGGTGGATCTTGTTTATATAATTGGTCTCGGTTACATCGAAATGCTAGTTGAGTTATGTTCACTGTAACCTCGATATAATTATAGGTGCACCTCCATCTATAGCTTCCGATACGGTTCAATAACTGTGAGATTATGAGAAAGACTGCGAAAAACCAGGATATTCTCGCAATTGGTTTGATCGAACAGCGAAACGTTGAGTATTGACCTTACATACACTGGAATAATTTCAGGGTTGAATCGATGCAGCACATCATGTTGTTGTGCTTCCACTCTTTTGTTGAGTCGTAACGTGTGAGGCACGAGATGATACAGTAAATATGGTCGCATTAGAAGCATGGGAACGTCTCCCAATTCTCATGTTTCACGATGAGCTCATACGAAAGCTCGTCTTTGGCTATTGTCTCCTACTTCTTTTGTTGTGTTCCCAGAAAATAATTGACAATACCACAGTGGTCATGTAGAGTGGCCTCAGCGACAAGTTCTCGTCTCCGACACGGTACCTCCATACGATCGTATGGCAAAGACTTTTAACAAGGTAGCACAGCTTACGTGTGGTTCCAGCTAGGTTCAGGATGGAGCGAAATTATTGATGCAACCTAGGAGCTTCCATCAGATGTCAAAGGTGCCAAGTACAAACGCAAGAAGCAACGATTGCTACATACTCTCGAGGAAATGAACTGAGTAAAACAGCAAGTAGTGGTCCATTGTATTTGAGTAGACAGCGTCCTGGTTTGTTGGCAAGATATATCGTAGTACAAAATTTACTAACCTTTTTGTTATTGTAATTCCAATTCCAATGTAAAAACAAAACCTAAAATTGCACTTGAGGCGTAGGATGTGCCCTTTATAAAAAAAATTCAATCAAAAATGTTTTGCTTAAGTTATGATATAGGATCTCTTAGGACCGCACAATTTACAAAACAGGGTAGATTATACTCTAACAACCCCATAACTCTAATTACGGCCTCCTTACTCTATTCATATCAATTTTACAGTTTAATATGGAACAAGGGTTCGAGTTCCGCCGTGACCTCGAGCAGCTCGTCCATGACGGCGTCTTATCGTCTTGTCGTAAGGCTCAGCGTATTCGTTTTCGTCCAGGCGTTTTATCTCTTTCTTCGTCTGAACCTGCAGACGTTCAATGGCAAGAACGGAGTAAAAAGAAGCTGGCAAAAGTGCTGCGTTCATTATGTGACGACTATGGAACGTCTCGGACGTTAAGTAGAGAAGCGCTTTTGTATACGAATTCATTGGAGGACGCATTGAGTTTCTTGGTGTTGCAACACACGAGTGACGAATTGCCATTGACGTTGCGGGCACAGCCGACGCAGGTACCGAGTGCTCAAGAAGAGACGGACAAGGAATATGGCGAGTTAGTGGCGACAGTAAATGCTGTTATAAAGGGGACAGATGAAGTAGGACAGAAGGAAAAGAAGAAGGAGACAAAACCAGTGGGACAAAAGGAGACAAAAGACGTGGGACAGAAGGAGAAGGAGACAAAAGACGTGAGACAAAAGGAGACAAAAGACGTGGGACAGAAGGAAAAACAGACGAAAGCGTTGTCGTGGACACAACAATATGTGCTGAATATGGCAGTACGAGAGGAAGAGCTCGCTCGACAAGAAGCACAAGTGACACCCGAGATGAAAGAAGTGACAGAGCTCGAGAGACGGTACCATGAGCTAGTAGCGGCCTTGAATCGTTTAAAAGAACGGAAGAATAAGAAGAAACCAAAGAGTGGCGACAAGCAAAAGACACGTGAACTGAATGATAAAGTGCTGGATACTCGACGACAATTAGTAGCTCGTGGATGGAGAGATTTAATGCAACAGGAGAAAGACATGAAGAAGAACGATACGATGATGGAAAAGATGGAAAAGATAGAAAAGAAGGCAGAGGTTGCTGACGAGAGAGATGATTTGGTTACGGAAAAGACAGAGACATTGTCTTTGTTGAATCTGGTGATAGAAGATGCTGATAGTGAATTGATGGCATTAGCTCATGGAACAACGGAAGAGAAAGAAGAGGTACAGGAGAAGGAGAATGTAGTGAAGGAGCATTTTTGTCCTGTTGTTCAAGCGCAAGATAACGAGAATGACGGTGACGGCGGCTTGTTTGGGCTCTTAGAGGAGGCTGAATTTACTGTGGTAAGTGCTGAGGAGATTAAGAAAAGTGCAGCAGTCGACACGGCAGCAATTATTGCGATCCAGGCAGCGGCTGACCTTGCAGTGTCAAAGGGTAAGAAGGGCAAAGGAAGCAAAAACAAGAAAGGTCGCAATATGCTGAAGGTCCAAGCGGCGGCGGCTCAAGCTGCTCAGGCTCAAGCTGTGGTGGCGGTGCCATGGACTGGAAAGTTGCCACGCGATCATTTGGAACAGCACTGCCGAAAAAATGGGCTACAAAAACCGCAATACAAGAAGTTGCCCCGTCCACCAGGCGGAGGACACTTGTATTCTGTAATTCTAGGCAACAAAAATTGTGGAAAAGAAGAGATCACTGTGAGAGATGCTCGTGATGCAGCTCAGGGTTTTGATTCCATTGCAGATGCAAAGGATGCCGTATCTACAAGTGCATTATTTGAGCTAGTACCGGATCTGCCACTATATCGAGTGCTGCCTCGATTGTACCGTGACATGTGGCAGCAGTGGACAAAGGAGCTTCAACAAAGTGAGGCAGCAGCGGCAGCCGCTGATCGGGATGAACACGACGAATTCCTAACCGAAATCTATAACGCTGTTCCCAAGGAGATTGCTGAAAAGTTGGCAGTCGTAGAGGTAGCAGAACCAGCTCTAAAGCACCCGTCTCGCAGTCTAAAGAAGGACGCTGAAGTTTGTGGCAGTACTTTGAAGGATTGGAGTGTCGATGACTGGGAAGCCGACTTATCTGATGAGGAGAATGCAAATGCAAACGAGTCTACATGTGATGATGTTACGGCGTCTATGGAAATAGAAGAAGAAAGTGAAAGTGACCGAAGTGCCGCATCGAAGCTGTCTTGCCAACTACGAGCGCAGTTGCAGAAACAAATGCGCTCAAGCGGGTACCGGTTCAAACTGAAGCAACGTGAGTCTCTGCCCATTGCATCGTTCAAGAAGCAAATTGTCGAGATGCTTTCCGACCGTGATGTGATCCTAATATCCGGCGAAACTGGTTGTGGTAAAAGTACCCAGGTACCGCAGTTCTTGCTCGAGGACCTACTACTTTCTGAAGCAGGAGGCGCTCGCGGTCAAATTGTGTGTACTCAGCCTCGCCGACTTGCTGCTATTAGTCTGGCCGAACGAGTGTCTGAAGAGCTGGGTGAGTCAAACATGGGTACAGGTGACTCACTTACAGGCTTTCAAATCCGTCTTGAGACGCGCATGACTTGTCGTACACGTCTACTCTTTTGCACCACTGGTATCTTGCTGCGCAAAATGCAGGACCCACGCACGTTAGGCAAGGAGGTAAGCCATGTGATTGTAGATGAAGTGCATGAACGCGACCTCCAGAGCGACGTGCTGCTGGTCATGCTGCGTCAGTTCCTAGCAAAAGGCAACGCGGCAAGGCGCCGACAGTTTGGAGGCACGTTGCCACCGCTAAAAGTAATTCTTATGAGTGCTACGCTCAACGCTGCAAGCTTCCAGGAGTACTTTGGTGGAGCCACGGTATGCCCGATGATTGAAGTGCCTGGTCGAACCTTCCCCGTGGAGCAGTTTTATCTTGAAGATGTGCTTGAAAAGACCCAGTTTGTTGTGGATGAGGAGTCCCCCGCTTACGTGCCAGTCTATGATAGCAGCTCGGACAGGCAGTCGACGCAAGTTACTATCTCAGGCCGCGGGGGTACGTCCCACACACAGCAGATCTCATGGACCACAACTTCCTTTTCCAAGATGACAGCAAAGGATCCACAAAAGTTGCTAGCTGAAAAGTACAGTGCGTCAACGCTGCTTGCTTTAGAGCGCATCGATCCTTCAGTTGTCAATTACGAGCTCATTCAAGCACTTTTGGAGCATATCACTACGGAAACGGATTTATTGTCATTGTCGGGAGAAGATGCTCAACGGAAGGGGAAAAGTGCGTCGGTGCTCGTGTTTCTTCCAGGTCTTCAGGAAATCACTACATTACTGGATATTCTTGAAGGCAGCCGACTACTACGTCATGATCAGCATGGTCGCGAATTTGAGTTTCTGCCGCTTCACTCATCACTTTCAGCACAGGATCAGCAACTTATCTTTCGTCAGCGCCCAGGTGTTGTTCGGGTAATCGCAGCAACTAACATTGCAGAAACATCATTGACAATTGATGACGTTAAGGTTGTGATTGATACTGGACGCGTGAAGCAAATGAGCCATGATGCCCAGCGCCGTACAAATATGCTTGATGAGATTTGGGTAGCGCGTGCTAATGCTAAGCAGCGTGCTGGTCGTGCAGGTCGCACTAGTGGCGGCACGTGTTTTCGTCTTTTCCCGCAGTCGGTGTTTTATTCCGTCATGCTCGAGCAACCCGTGCCTGAGATCCGGCGTGCACCATTAACATCGCTCTGTTTACAGATAAAGACGTTCGGTGTGGGAGAAAATGATCAGAAGGAAAGTTGTGGCGAGTTCCTCCGAACATGCTTAGACCCACCTGATGATGCCAGTATTTGTGATGCGCTGGAGGAACTTTTTGAAATTGGTGCACTGAACCGCGAGAACGAAGAACTTACAACATTAGGTGCACACTTGGCTAGACTTCCAGTCGATGTAAAAGTAGGTAAACTACTTCTCCTTGGAGCGCTTTTCGGAGTCTTCGATACTGCAAGTACCTGTGCCGCTGTGCTGGAGACGAAATCACCTTTTGTCGCTCCGTTCGGTCGACAAACCGAAATGAAGCAGGCTCGTCAGAAATTTGCTGTTGGTGCCAGTGATTTGCTCACAGATGTGAACGCTTTCGATGCCTGGCGCTACGTTGTTCAACATAGCAAAACTAGCGGAGTGACCGAGAAGAGCTTTTGCCACGACAATTTTCTAAGCCACCGAGCGTTGCGTGAGCTGAGCAAGCTCAAACGTCAGTTTCGATGGCTTGTGGCACAGCTTGGTTTCTTGCCGCCATCTGATCCTGCAGAAGATGAGCGGATGACACTCCAGCAGTTGGCGACGATATCAGCTGTCCTCTATGCTGGTCTAGCCCCCAATCTGGTCCATGCCGAGCCGCCGATGGCGCATGGTCCAAAGCGTGCAGTATTACGCGAACGTGACCACTCCATTGTTGTAGTGCATCCAGGCTCGGTCAACTACAAAGTGGCTGCTTTCCATGCAAGCAACTTTCTCACATATGCAGTAAAGCTGCACACGTCGCAGGTGTATCTTCCGTCGTCCAGCCTTGTGCTACCCTTGGCCATTTGTCTGTTTAGTCATGGATTAGAGCTACTCCCACAACTGCGGCGAAAGGACAAGGATGGCAATGAGACAATTGCCTTGCGGGTGAATGACTGGGTAGTATTTCACACATCCTTCCGCTCGTCTGTTTTGTTGCAGGAATTGCGCGATGCGGTTCTCCAACTCGTTGATGTCAGCCTTCAAGCACCACCGTATGCACGCGGTGCCAATGTTGAATCGAAGGTGAAGAAAAGAGAGCGGGAGGAACTAGTTGACGTGTTGCGCGTGCTCTTCCTCGCTGAATACGAAGAGCGTGACCCGAACAAATGCTTGTCTAGCCACTTGTGCGCTAGACAGCATAAATAGAAGACATTCATTGCGGAAGATGCTGATTGACTGCCACCCGACTTGAGAATCCCTTCCGTTGAGCGAGAATGCCATTTGAATGCAGCTTCGTGGTTTTCTCAGAGCAGCTACATCGCCTGGAGCTGAACTTCTAGCATGATAAGGGTCCGACCACCAAATTTTTTTTGTCCACAGGCAGTGACTCAGGTAGTACCAGCACGTTGAGACGGCATTCGTCCTAAATGCTGCCCCTGTGCTATGCAAGCTAAACGACATTTTCCCAGCTTTGTTCTGTTGATGTTTGACCGCGGCAGTGTCTCGGGTAGGGCAGACCAGGCGAGTGCGACAAATTGATACAATCTGAAACAAGTGGTGGTGGAGTCTGCAATGCTGGTACGATGTTAAATGTCGCCTTCTCTGTAAATGTATTCGGGAAATCCGTGTTGGCGTTGTTGATGCGGTTACTGGTATGACAAGACGGTCTTGATAGCATCCACATTCCGCTGTAAGAGCTTGGTTTTACGAGCCACATGAGTGATGTGAAAGGGAAGACGCAACCATGGAAAAGCTCGTATCGATCAGTACCTCAATTACTGATTAGAAACGAACCATACCTACATAGTCACCACTATGCATGCATGGAAAGTAACACAGCTAGGCACGAATGCACGCATCCATCCATCCATCCATCCATCCGCCCGTACTACAACTGCAGGTACAGACAGACGAAAGGACGTCGAATTAACCTTTAACGCGTCGAGGTCGGGTATTGCGGCTGGCGGGCAACGCTTCCACTGCATCGCGCTTGTTTCGACGGCTGATTTGTCGTCCTGGAGCTGTCTCTTCTTTTCCGTCACTAATCTCCTTAAACGCATCAGCTTCCGGCTCCTCTTTCTTTTCTTCGCTCTCCTCCTCATCTAGACAAATTTCAACACAAGACACACATCTCCCATCAACCACTATTCCACCTCTTTATCAGATCTAACAGAACACAAAAAAAAAAAATCGAGCCACGAACCGTTAGATTGTGCCTGCTTCCCAGCCTTCTTTCCATCCTTTTTCGGGGGCCGACCGCGTCTCTTCCCCGTCACCACCGGTGCCGTCGTCGAGTAGCCATACAATTCATGATAGCGACCACTAAAGTCTTTGTAAAGGTGAAACCATTGCTCCAAAGAGCATTCCTTCTTCTTTTCTTCAATAGGCTCTGCAAATTTACTAGAGTATTCAATAGGAAGAGTTCCGACACCCGCAAACAGCAATGGTGACGTGCCTGCCTTGGCACGTTGCGTGCCTTCCACAAACATTGAAAAGTTTTTGCCAATGTTCTTGGACGCCCGTTCTTCAAAATTATCTCGAAACGATGCCACATTCTTTTTTTGTATCCAACAACGTGATCGTTTCGCTTCTTTAAACGAATCGTAAAACTCGACAAGAAGTTTCGTCTCTTCTTCAAGACCTTGAGCAGCTACAGCTGTAGTAGGTGCACGTAGAATCACCTACAACAAATAATACGAACCCAAAAGTTAATACAATTGGAGACCTAATAGCAAGAATATAACTGTCAAATCACATACAAAGGCAGGCCACCAGGGCCACTTGGGAAGCTTAGCCCAGCACTTTTTCACGATTGTATACGTGTGCAATGGAGCGAGACGCTCTTTATTGACACCAATCCACTGATTATAATCATCATCCCAACCATCGTATTTGATCTCGACCTTATCCAGATTTTCCTCTTTACCCACGTCCACAATGACACCCGTATTCCAAATACCTTCGTCATCCAATACGTCTGTCAATAGAGAGAGAGAGAAAGAATAGGAAGAATGGATAGAAAGAGAGAAAGAAAGAGAGGGGGAAATGACATACTACGCACCTACACGGAGCCCAATCTCAAGTGGCATTTCAGTTTCCATGACTTCTTTTTTTTGCTACTACCAAGTCTTGTCGTTTAAGATGCGTCAAGTCAGTGTATACTAGAATCAAGTGGCTGTCTTGGAATGACTGGACAGGGACAATCTTGATAGATTCAATGTCTTCCTGTTACAGTAACACCAAAGACTGGTTCTTAGAGTGTCTTGTAAAATCCGAGATACATTGTACCGTTAGCTTTGAGGCTAATGCATGGAATTCATTGTCCAACTCAGACAATGTTGAGTACCTTATTGGTTTCTCCTAGTTCATGTTCATCTGTCGATACGAAGCAAGAGCTTTGGTCGGATCCTAGTCGTTCTGCACGCCATTGTGCTCTTTTATTCTATCGAAAACCAGTGGCAATGATCTCGTTAAGTAAAAATCTTTGACGCCGGAAAGCGTTGTTATCGCTCCGCAAGGACTCACTTGAGCCTATAGATACATTATTTTACCTACTTCTTCGATCTGCAGAGTCAATTGGGTCGTGCGCTGTTACTAGCTGCGTAGAGTCACTTGATGGAAAGAATTGTACTTCCGTTCCATGCTTTCATACATCGAGTTGCAGCTTGCATCATTATAGCGATCACATTGCGAGAAAGGTACGCACTACGAACCACTAGCAGTGACAAATCCTACACCAGCGAATGAAGATGCTTGCGAAGGTGCGCAGGAGAAGACATGACGTCAGAAGACGTTTGTTTTCGGTTCTATCGGTCTCAGTTTTGCCATCTAAATAAGCGCCTATTGAGTAACTTGACCCAGCAATCGTTTGATCTGAAGACATTTCTTACCCTGTGTTGGATGCCAATCATTCCATAGCTTTAGGCCTTAAATACGGTTATTCTCGATGAAGTTCATGTCGGGCAAAGTCAGTATCAAGACGCAAAGAGATAGCAAGTGGTTGGCTTGTAAAATCCAGCTGCTAAATGTACTGAAGAATAATGCTAGAGCTCTGCCCAAAGATATTTGTATGGAATTGCTCTATAAACACGCGTTTAGGGCTGGTCACTATGTGCTTGCTTAGACTTATACATGCACTTGAAACGTACGTCATTAGTAAAATGTTATATATCAGCGGTGTTATTGCCCATACTGCAAGAGGTGTCAACAAACAGACAATCATATCAAGAATATCGCATTTGGTTGAGCCACTACTGTCAATTAACTTGATACATATCCAGCTCATTTCCTGCCACAGCAACTGCTAATCCATATTCTCGGCTTCTTATCATCCACCAACAAGTCGCAGAAGGCTGCGGTATATTGCTAGATGGACGTGAGATGACAAAGTAGTAAAGCTAGAACCTTGAACTTGAACTGTAACAATCCTCATCAGGTACGTGTGACTGGATCTCAAGCTTCAGCGGTAATAACAACCGTACACGGATCCTGCCCGTCTACTTTTGGGTCATAATCAGGCGATTGAACTTGCGATGCGCACGTTCGACCAGCGAAGGGTTCAGTGGTCAACGAGTTCGTTGACGTGGAGCCTCATTGAAGGCTCCTCGATGGCGACTTTTAGCACAAAATTGACTTGAACGAACCGGCACATGTGCTTCGCCAATGAAAGTCCTATCAGATCACGTCGTCTATACGCAGGCGAGCCAAATTCGGCGAGGGTTGGCCTTTTTGATGTGTGGTTGTCACAGACTAGCACGTGCGTTGGTTGGCTCTTCTTGCTATCTTAGAGGTCGCGTCGCGGACTTGCGGACGTTGCTCCGATTTGCTCGTAACTGCGGTGCGCGTTCGTCGGCGTTTATTCGATCCAGCACGATTCGGAATGCGGTACACGCTTCAGTGCGACAATTGACAAGGCTGATTTACAATTGACTTGAAGTTTGTATGTACATGCGTCTAACGTAAGGAATGGGAATGTTTTTTATATATATATATAGTTTTACCATCAGTGTCTCACTGAATATCTGAACTTTCAGTACAGTCCAGTGACCGACTTCGATTTAGACTGAAATATATAACAGTGCTTTGTGGCTGTCGTCTCGAATTATCGGGATTCCAACATATTCGTCATATACTCTGGAATAAGAATCGTGACTGTTAGATACTTAGCGTGTCCTTTTGCAGAGCGCCGATGACCAATCGCTGCTCGTGATCGACGCCATACCGCCTGTTTGCAGTCACTTTTCATCCAATTACACTTCCCCGTATCTTTGACCACATTCAGATATCAATCGGATTGGTTCGTGTCACGAGAATATTGGCCAATTGTATAGCACCTGAAAATACTACTGGCGCGAGCGATAGACAGGCAGGATGATGGCCGGTGCTCGTGGTAGTCGCTCGTGCATTATCGAATCTGCCACAAGCAAAGCAAACGAACACCATGCAAGACTTGTACGAACGGATGACCACATTGCAGCACCAAAGTCCTGCTTCTTCGTACGCCGAGACCGAGTGCACAGACTCAGACATCGACTCGAACGACTGTCACGACGCCAAGCGCAAGTTTTTAGCCAGAGACGCCCAACGTATATGGGTACGCACTGCACCTATCAGCATTCCGTCCAGGGATCACCAGCAGCTGCACTCGTACCGGTGCGAGAGCCTTTTCGAGAGCACGGACTTGTCCTATCACGCTGACATGCGTCTATTGCACGCCGGTCGCTGCCATTACGCAGACGAAGATGACGATGATGAGCTGCCTGAAGCCGAGCTAGAAGAAGATGACTCGGCTCTTTTTGGTAATTTGGCCTTCTTCCGCTCGCAATACGGCGTCTCGCAGACCTGCATGGTCAAGCGTAACGCGTGTACATACAAATCCATTGCTGCCCCCGCCTCTCCTACGGGCGTAGACGATCGTGACGAAGACATCTTTGCTATGGAGCTTTAAGCTGCGTCTGCATTGTAGCCATAGTATTTAATTACCCGTGGGTATCATCGGGCTTGTAAGGCGACAACAAAGTCATAACTTATCCTTTAACAAATATGATGTTCTATACGTCCACCTATCGTTGTCTCGTTGTACAGTCGTGATGATGTCACTTATCGCTCGCTCGCTCGCTCGTCGTCGGATAAAGTGACACACCGCAGACAAGGCAAGCAGCGTGCGTATTGCCATAGCCATCCTCCCTCCCTTTCGCTGCATGTGAAAGTGAGCAGTTGCAGTTTAGTTGCAGTTGTCTCCTGTGAAAAACGATAGCAATATCAAGGTGGCACAATTCTGTACCACTTGGATCTCGAATCGTTTGATAACAGACTGTCGCCAGACTTGGGCGACATCACCAAGCCCCAGTCTGAACATGCGAACGAGCGTTATAATGATCCAGCCCGCGCTTGTGACGCGATTGGGATTCCTTTTACCTTGAACAGCATCCCAACGCAGATTCGTGGCTCGGTTATGGACGCGGCTAGGCTCTCCTTTTGGACAAATGAGCAAACAGAGCCTGCGCTTGCCACGATCTTTCAGCCAATCGAAAACTATGTCCTGTCAACGTTTAATGCTGTCATCCACACCATTGTAAACCGGCGATCCAACTGCAACCGCAACGGACGCCTCATTCTACAATTGTCAACAAACCGATCACATCTTTTAGCCACTGGTCAACGGTCTATTGTACCATTCATTACCCAGCGTTTCAGTCTTCAGCAACCCAGTTAGTAACAACAACACCATGCATCCAATACAGACACAGAGTCTGCCCACGTGGGCGCCTTCTCGTAGCAGTGGGATTTATAAACCCACTGCCTTTGACGACGAGGATCCACTGTACCTATCAGGCGAAGAAACTGACTGTGAATCGGAACGTGGAAGCGACACGCTGAGCCGTGACGACGAGCAGCTCATGGCGTGCTTCGTTAATCTCCAGCGTGGGCGTGCTCGCAAACAGGTTTTGTGTCCAGTGGCGCGTCCTGCTGAGACTTGTACGTCACCTATCTTGATTCCCTCGCAGACGCACAAGTATGTGGCAAAGTCTACCAAGCGGTGGTTGTGGGACGACGATGACGAGGAGAACGAAGACTGTGACCAGTGCCCGTGCTGCAATAACCAGAACGGAACTGCTGACGAGCTCACTACCGAGACAAGGGGTGTGGCTGCTAGTGAACTTCTTTTTGACTTGGAGCTCTAGGCTTTAGACTAAATTTAATTATGTAGCACTCCGTTACTATAAAAAAAGAAACGTCCAGGTGTAAGTACTCGTAGCAATAAAGAGATGCAGAATGAATGCAACTCGTGACAGACACTACCAGCCACTTTAATTCGTTTTTGCTTTTATGTAGTTCAACTAGAAGCCTCAAGTCACTCTTTCAATATCCATCTTCATGCATCTCTTCTCTCTCTCTCTCTCTCTCTCTTCTATGCTATTATAAAAGCATACAGTAGTCTCTATCTTTGTAGCACAATCAGAGTAATCGCTAGCAGTGCAATGAATCGATGGACAACAGAGCACCAATTTAAACCTTAGGGACAAAAATGTAGCTCCGATGGCGATCCCAAATCACATGTGAAATCTGTCATGGTCGGATGCAATGTGCGATGTCCATAGATGAAGTGCTGCCGTAATCAGCAAGTTGCGCTCGTAATCTGCCTCATATTGCGATCATGTCGTCTGTCCGACAAGCTGTTGGGGGCTGGGGCTACGAGCGCAACAAAGCAGTGACTATAATCATTGGTGCTCAATGTCGCAGCGAAGGCATAGGCAATCAAAAGATTTGACTAGCAAGAGCTTTGCCGTTGTCCTATTGAAGATGCAGATGCGCAGAAATGACTAAAGCCGTATACTAACGCGTCCTACTTGATTAAGACTAGGTAATGAAGGAAAAAAGCAGTGATGTAGGAACCGTCTGGTGATCGGTACGAGTGAGTAGATCCTTCTCCTCACTTTTTGTGCATAATCCAGGAACTCGCAGCCACAGGATGTCATTCAGAGAGCGGGAACAGGAAGCACGACGATAGGATTGTGCGACATTGCGATCGTGCAGTCAGTCTATGGAGGACGGAGACCCCATGTCGTCCCCCCAGTCAAATCATTGGACAGGAAGCTTTCATGTAATGTACACCAATTAGAAACGATCGAGGTGACGTCGACGTTTTGTACCCATTTTGAGGAGAACAAAAAGATGGAATCGTTCGACATTCTCGTGCTCTGCGTCGTGTGTTTTCTCAGTGGTATTGTAGTACTTATGTATGTTCATCGAAGGTCTTGTACTGCCTTTCATACCGAAAATAATGACGAGGAAACGTCTGAACCTGGAACGGATCACGACGAACAGGATTCGCTGCTACCAAAGTTTGCAGGACTGTTGCTTTCGCCTTGGCACAGCGTAACGACTGGACAGAATCATGAGCCCACGAGGATGCGTACAGTTCGAAATAAAACACGATCCATTTCACTGCCAATGTCGCTTCCTCTTGGCAAAAGAAAACAAACTGCTGAAGTACCGATCAAGAAGATTCACGTGCCTTATTTCTTTCCATTGTTGGATGAGACTGCCGAGTGGTGGCAGATGCATCAATCTACTGTTATGGAGCGTCCACTGGCTCTAGAACAAGAGGCAGGAGAAGATTTGGAGGACAAGTTGTTGTGCTCGGATCATAAGATGGAGTGATAGACACTAGAATCAAGAGCTAAAAGAATCACTGCAGTTGGAGCAGCCAGCAGCGATGATCCAAGTTGGAAAAGAATGACGGGGAAATGAGTTGAAAGACGGAAGAGCTTGATGCGATGCGAACGATGCTGAGGTGTGGAGATAAATGAGCACTACTGTAAATACATGAGCAAGAACATGGAAACACAACGTTGACGATCGATGTGTGTAGGATGCTATACCCATCGATTGACTCTGTGTCCAATTGCTACGAGGTTCCTGCATCCCTGAAACGTAGGAATTACGTCGCAATCGTTACATTTGCAACGTCAAGTAACGGTAGTGATTCTTGCGATGGTCTAAGAGGTTTCGATTAAGAGATTCCAAGGGACCAAGACTCTTAACCGCCGGTTCAATGCCTGCCTACACATAACCTTGATGAGGTCTCGCCGCGAGAAGAGAAGTTGTCACATGTTGCGCATCTAGATCGCCGTTGTAGCGGAAACAACGCGTTGCGCAAGGAATCGTACAGCCAACTGCTCAAGCTACACAGCATCATGGGCAAATAAGGACCGGCAAAGTGGTTAGGCTGAACGAACCTTTATCCCGTTTTAGATGGAAAGCAGCAGGCCTATGCAAATACTAACGACCATGATTAGACTGAAGTTCCTGGCCTCATTGGATGACCATGAACTCGAATCTGCAGGTGTAACATCGAGAGAAAGAGAATTGAGAGCAGCGTTATATTGCCAGGATAATCGGTGGATTGCTCCGTATAAATGATGCTGCAAGATCCAACGGGGCTGAGGCCCAAACTTCAGCATGCGTTTTTCTGCTGTTGAGAACTTTCATTTTTTGGTAAGCGACTGGATTGAAGACTTCTACACTAAGTTGCCCACTTAACCATTGCCGTAATCTGTTTGCATTGCCCGTGAATCGGCTTTTGACAGAATGATCGTGGTACACCTCTCGAGTTTGGCCTTGCGCGAAATACAAGCTGGTAACGTTGCTATCAAAATGATGGCAGCGTCCTCTCTTTCTTAGATGCAGCCACTTCATTTGTGGTAAAAGGCCTCAGTACCGCTAGAAATGTTTTTCTTGCTACGATGAGCACTCTGCTCCCCACACAAATTGTTCTTTGAAGCTCTGCATCTTCAATGTGTTGCCACTCTCGCGATGGCACTCTCGGATTATAAAAACAACGGTGATGACTGACCCGGTCAAAACCTCAGTTTTTCTAGTCCATTCTCTCGTGGAGTTCTTGATCACAGCGTTAAAAGAGCGTTATCCGTTTTAGTCATAGGAATCTGATGGTAAAGAGGTTCTGGAAACGGCAAAGTTTGCTTTATAGACGAAGACTGACAATTGAAACCAATTGTAGCACCAACATACCTGAGACCGCACGACAATGGAACAAACTTTTGGCGTGGAGCCCGTGATAGCGCAGATGTGAAAAGCGCAGATAATCCGATCCAAATGGGTTTACCAACAAGTTCGCGCAGATTTATGTATGACGATGTCTTTGGCTATGGCTGTGCCTTTTGGTGGCGGTGTCAATGTCCAATGACTGGTGCACTAGCTTTGGTCTTGATTCGTCATCCTTGTTGTCTCAAATGGGTGTCATGAGTGATACCTCTTCAATATCACCGTCCGTCTCATCACCATGCCACTCGTCCCTATCTTCTCGATACTCGGCCATCGCTCTTGCTCGTCGTTGAGCTAGGCGAAGTGCTCGTCGGTTCCTTTTCGCACGACGTTCCTCAAACCACCGCTTGCGACGGTTGATGTTGTAAGCGCGAAGCACAACGCAGGCTGCGAGAAACACGATAGCCACCGACAAGAGTATTTCATCCCACGACACCCCAAACGCGTTGCGCGATGGCATGACGTTGATTGTCTCCTTGACCGTAGACGCGACTGTATCGTCGATTTTGTTGAGGCTCTGTTGTATTGCTGGTAATGAAGCTGACTCAACTTTTACTGGATGCTCGACATGTACTTCTTGGACAAGAATTGGTGATTCCGACTTGATTTCACTGTGTTGGACATTTACGAGCTCTCCAGTCGTCGACGGGGATGAAACTCCGACAAGCCCATGGCCACTTTCAGCACATACAACCTGTGCCTGCTCATTGTCAACAGTGCGTGGATTTTGTACAAAAGTCACAGCCGCATCGTCCTTGGTTACAGGTTCGTGACTTAGCTCGACTTCGGTTTGCGTCAAGCTGAACTGATCCCCGTTGACCTCGCAAGCACTGGCAGGTGAACTAGCTATCGCATCATGCAGAGACTCTTGCATGGTTAGGTATGGTTCCACTTGGATCGGTGTTCCAGTTGTAGTTTTATCCAGTTGCTTATCGTTTTCGGCGTCGGCGGCTTTGACAATCAAACCGTTATCATCTGCACCCTCAATATCGATCACTTGTATTTTTATAATGTCTTCCAGCTGTGCTCGCAGTGATTCTCGTTCTTGCTTTACCAGTTCATGCGTTACGTGTACAATATGGCGTCGTAGCTTTTGCATTTCTTTCGCGAGTATGTCTTGATGTTTCTCGCGATCTAAACGCATCCTATCCATGTACTGACGAAGTTCAGTTAGGACTGTTTGCGATCTTACTTCGATAGTGGAAGTGAAGAGCTGGAAACCCTGGAGTTCTAGCTGAAGTACACTCATGCGGTCACGTATTCGTTCTTGCTCAGCTCTTGATAGCACAAACCGTGTTCGTCTCGAAAACAATCCAAGTAGAGTAATCACCTCTTCAATGAAAAACCCGCTCGTCCCAATCACTAGACAACAAGCAATTACAATCATACTACGCCATGGAAACTTCATACCAAAGAAAGCTTCCACGCGTGCAAAAAGAGTATCAATGACAGAGAACTCCTCACATGAAAACTGAATTTGGTCACAACCATTGGAAACCTCATAGTGCTGATCGTCACATGCTTTCCAATCTCCACCATATTCCACTTGACTTGAGTTTTCCATCGATGCTAGCATTTCTGCAATACTTTGGCCTGAGATTGGAGCTACATAGTCGTTTCCATCAGTCGCAAGTGATTCCATGTCGCCATGTTGCGTAATGGATTGGTTTGTTTGTTCATTTATTGACATTGTAGACAGCTCGCTTGGAAGCATTCCATCGTCATTTATATCGACGTTCATAGGGAACGGACATCGATCTTTTCCATTTCCATAGACGGAACTCTCATTCCATGTACGTGAAGCTTTTGTCCCGTACACTAAAGTATTGTCGAAGACTTGATGATGATCTCTGTCTTTTGCTCGTAAAGATGACACTAATTTCTCCCATTTTGAGTCCTGGAAGTCCGTATCACGTTCTCGTTTTCCTACATCTCGTTTTATATGGCACGTCATTCTCATGGCTTCATCTTGGTCCGTATCATGCAGTAGTCGAGGTCTTTGAGCAGCTAATTGACCATCAAAACTGCTGCTGTTTATCTCGAGAGACGACGAAGACGACGGTGTTGCCATTCGCATTAAACGATGTTGCACCTCTGCAACTCGTCGTTCGTCCTGTTGCAATTGCCACTTGAGAAGCGCATTGCGAACGGGGCAACGGTTACGCTTGCCATGACGCGTTGCCATGAGTTGTTTAGGCACTTGTCCAAATGCCGGTTTTCAAACGAGGTTCATATAGTAAAATCAAGATATTTGCCCTTCCCGCCAAAAAAATGGCCACAAAGTGCCTGGAACTACATGAAAACAGGATGATTATTTTAGCTTAGAACTGCATGGCTCGATTCATTATCGGTTACGTGATTAGCTCATAAGTAAGTAGTCACTTGTTTGCTTGGGACTTGTGCTGGCTGCTTGTTGTTTTTTTTTAAACTAAAGTACACCCGCTGACTCGCAGTAGCACATTGTCAACATAAAAATCCGCCTAAGAGAGGGTGGAGTCGTTTTCGATCCGTGAGGGCGGGCCCTCGGTGGGGAGCGTCACCATTGCCTTCATTTCCCACCAAGGCCTCACGATTTAAAAAAAACGCCGGTTAGGATCAGCGTCCATCGTGCCGCTATTGCTCCCTCTCCGCTCACCCACGTAAAATTCCGTGTATTCGTCGCGAGTTGTTACAGACAGGATCTCACCCATCTTGCGCTTGAATCGGTCACAGTACGCAGCAGCAGGAAGAGCTGACAGACCATCCGGGTCCTTTGCAAGCAACTTTGTCTTTGCAAAACGCTCCAACTTCTTGTCCATGTTCCACGTCTGCAGGATGTCAATGAGCCCAAAGTAGTAGATGGATGGACCAACCACAGTGTTTGCTCGACGTGTTCCAGTGGCAACTCGTGGAAGACCAGGCTTCGATTCCCTGACAGGAGCAGCATTTGATCCAAGAAACGACGAGTTGTTCGTGGTACGAAGTCTTGGTCCAAATGCATCCTTCGGCGGAATCATGGGTTCTTCCTCTAGATCAGGATTTACTACGTACTCCACGTTATGGATACCCAGCAAAAGCGAGTAGTCCATTATACCCAAACGTGACAAAAAGTTCGCATCTTTTACCAATTGACCGTACAATTCCTCGGCGACCTCCGGATCCAAGCGAACCTTTGCTGTCAAGTCATTGTCTTTCAAAATCACATTGGGCTCGTGGCGACCGACTCGTGCGCGACAATTTTCCGCATCCGTTGAGCCAAAAACATATTTGGCGTTGCAGTGACGACAAGTGACACGCTTGCCCTTAGACGGATGTTTAGCACTGCGGTTTACCCAAGAGCCCTTTATATCGTAACGACGATGAATCACCTTTTCCGTGCTAAACAAATTGGCCATAACGACGAAATTAAATGTGTTGCCGTAGAGCCGAATTGCGTGGCATCCGTAAAATCGCGTCAAAAGACTATCTGGGTTCGTCAGCAAAAATGAGGCGTACTCTGCAGCAACCGAGCGAAGGAAAACCGATTCCTCGTCACTCATACTCTTGACAATCAACTGCTGGTCGTGAGAAAAAAACATGAAAGCTCCACTTGCACCTTCACTCAGTCGTTCTTTTGTTGTCCGACTCAAACTTTCGATATACTGATTCGTATCAATCCCAAAATGTTCCCGAATCGTCTGGAAGGTGTGAGGGCAGTAGTCAATAAATAACGTGCCCTTCCCCAGTGCAGCTTTCGGCCTTGTGCGAATCATATACTCATCAACGCCGAGCGATCCGCGGTTATCCTCTGTGCCCTGTGGCTGCAGATACAGTTCTTGCTGGTTGGCTCCAGGTGGCAAGTGCTGCGTGTCGCGTACAGCCTGAATGATGCCTGTCGTTGTGTAGTACAACACTTCGCAACGCAAAGCAAGATTCACCTGAGGGCTCAGATCAACATCCACATCGACATCGGTTTTCTTTCCTTTGCCTTTCTTCAAAGCGTCATGAAAATCATTCATCTGAAACCAAACGACAAAATCAAAGTAACCCTTGCACGTGATCATAAAGTTCATCATCTGCTCCACCCGACTCGACCGATCATTGCCTTGAACCAAAAATGGCACGTAAATACAAAATGAAAGTCCCCAGTAAATGATAATAGCGATCACATAGCTACAGCCAGATGAACGAGGTGAAAGTGTTGTCAGTGGAATACTTCCTTCACAAAAACACACATGTGTACTTACATCGTGACCGAGTGCAGCACGCGAAGGCGCATGCGCAGTGTCTCCGAAAGACCAGAGTTAAGACGTCTATATGCCCAGTAGATAACACTGTAACCAAAGAAAAAAATGGCAAGTAAGGCGCACCCTGAGTCAGTATGAGATGCCGTCACCAAACTAAAAACGCGTCGCTATCCACACGTACGTGATGGCATAGACCCAGTACATAATGAGCCAGATGTAGAAAAGCAGCCACGACCTGATTACGTGCAGTGTAACAAAAACCACATGACGCTTAGACATATCTTCTCATGGCAGAGATCATAGATCTGTAAACCAGTTAGGGATGACGTACTGAAAGTTGAGGTTCCAAAGATTGCCCGTCTCACTTGAGCGAGAGCTACCGCTATCACTCTTTTCTTCTTGACGCAGTTTGCTTTTGCTTGCTGTCCAGCAATATCCAAACTCTGACTCGCCAGCGAAGTCCGGAATAGACACCAGTAAGATACACGTAAGAAAACCTGCACACACACACCAAGTCCAGTTAGCGGCAAAAACTTTGCATGCCAATAAGACATAAAACCTGCATACCTGTCGCCCATACAAAGCCATGATACCGGCGAACATTGTTCTTGTAATCTGTAAACGGACTCTGCAACGATGACAACATATCGATCGCCATGACAAAAAACCAACTCTCTGATGTCCAGAGAAAAAACTGTGTCAGTGCAGCTGTCGCCGTACAGGACGCGCCTGTCAGTGTATTCAAGCAATCTCCACCGCCGCACTTGTACAGCTCTGTAAAAAGTAACACTGCCACGAGACAGATATCGCAGATACTGCGAAAGAAAATGATAGGATTGGGATGTTTACGCCACGTCGGACGCGTCAGGAACGTGTACACCACCGCAGAACAACAAAAGAGCGTAATGACACTGCCAGCTACGAGACCCACGGAAGCATCAGCATTATTGTCGGCAAAAGCGACCGTGAGCGCGGCTCCGCAGATAAAAATGAAGAACATACAGCACTGAATCTTGTAATTGTTGGCCCAGTGAATCGAGTTTTCAACTTTAATCTTGGCATGAAACCAACCGATTCCTTCATTCAGTCCATTCTGAATCTTGTCTGTCACATAACTGCCATTATCAATGCTGTCTTCGGAACTTTCACCGACCGAGCGCATAAGTTTTGACCGAGAGGAAGATTTGGTCATTTCAATTGGTGTGATCATGGAGGAATAGCCATTATTACTATTAGAGAGGGAGAGGGAGAGTAACATAATGTTAGATACACATGTCACAATTCGCATTATAGTATACATATATACATATATAGATATAGAATCACGCACCTCGCATCCAGCATACCGTTTGAAAGGGTAGGTGTGGTTAGGGCACTGTCTGTCCGTACAAAATAAGGCGTATCGTTTCCGGATAACGGACGTGTCGTCGTCTCGGCTATGCTCCTCTTCTTCTCGTTGGACTCATATTGAGACTGTGATGATGACGGTGGCGGAGGAGGAGGCGCATGTGGCCGTCGTGGCTTGGATCTGTGATTGGATCTGTGATTAGACGTGGTAGAATTTAAAGGTCCATTTCGTATTGGTTGACGCTCGGATACAAAGAGACCGCCACTGTCTCGTTTGTCTCGAGTGGCCATGAGGAAAAAAAAGCGTCGACCACTTCAATCGATCGTGTTGTATCTAGGAGACGTGTGTACGTATAAAAAGAAGTCTTACGAGAGAATCACACGTCCGTCCTGTGAATGTGTGGAAATGAAGGCGGAAACTACGTGATGTTGTCCGAGGGTTTTAGTTTTCTCGGGCGTGTGGTGGCTTCTTCCTACGCTCGTCTCTTTTTGGCAGTGAAGAAGCCAGCGCTCAATAGGGTGCTGTAAAGTTGCAGTAATGTTGCATGACGATCGTATACGCAACGTAAAATAAGGCTGAAAAGAAAAATGGTAGAGAGAATCAGTTGATTCTAAACGTCACGACGGTGCGTTTCTAAGCGCCAATAACAGCTGGGTTTGCAGCACAGAATTAACGTACATTTGGAGTATTTTTAGCTAAAGAAATAAAAGCTACTAGTTGATTAAATTGATTCGAATATTAATAAACTTAATGTAAATTTTCGAGTTGACAAAGCGGCTAGTGATGCAGGGCCAGTCATTTTGGATCATTTTCATTCTATCCTGACTGCCAACATGGTACCGTGTCAATTGTTATTGATAGCAAGTGCAAGGCAAGAGTTTGGTACTTACGTTTAGTATGTGTTGTTGTTCTTATTACTAAGTAGAAGCTCTACACGTATCCCGCAAACCACCGCGTCTTTAAGGTGCTCATTGCTGCCGAGTTCAATGGCATCGACATTGAGCTGCCGGAATTTGACTTTGCCAAGGACGCCGAGTCGACAGAGCTCAAAGCCAAGAGCCCAACTGGCAAGGTGCCTTTTCTAGAGACAGAAGAGGGCACAATCTTTACAAGCGGCGCTATCGCTCGCTACGTCGCTCGTCTGCGACAGGATACTGGTCTGTACGGCAAGACATTCTTTGAGTCTGGTCAAGTGGATTCGTGGATCGACTTTTCTGCTCAGGAGCTTGAAGTGCCTCTCGAGGTGTGGGTGCACCCTATCCTCGTTGCTAGCAAGTCGAACCCTGCCGCTCTTGCCAAGGCTAAGGTCGATGTGAAGAATGCTTTTCAGACCCTGGAGAACCACCTGCACCTGCGCACTTACCTAGTGGGTGAGCAGATCACTCTTGCCGACATTGTTGTCGCTTCAACCCTCATTTATCCGTTCAAGTTCGTGTTGGACAAGGAGTTTCGCAAGCCGTACTCAGCCGTGACCCGTTGGTTCTCGACCCTAGTAAATCAGCCGGAATTCCAGGCCGTTGTCGGTGACGTGCCGCTCATCGATGTGGCTATGACCGCTGAGGGTGACGACTCGGCCAAGAAGACCAAGAAAGCGACTCCAAAGAAGGAGAAGGCCGCCCCTAAAGAGGAGGCCCCCAAGCCCAAGAAGGTGGAGCACCCGCTGGCTGTGCTGAACCGCGAGAAGCCTTCGTCGCTGAACCTGGATGCGTGGAAGGTGCAGTACTCAAACACAAAGAACTTGGCTGATGCCATGACGTGGTTCTGGGAGCACTTGGACACGGAGGGCTATTCGCTGTGGTTCTGCGACTACAACTACAACAACGAAAACACGAAGATGTTTATGACGTGCAACGCTGTGGGCGGCTTCCTTCAGCGTTCGGAGGCTATGCGTAAGTACGCATTCGGTGTGATGGACGTGTGCGGTGCTGAGGGCTCAGAGATTATCATCACGGGCTGCTGGCTGTTCCGTGGTGACTCCGCGCAGCATATGGTCGAGGCCAATCCCGATGCTGAGTACTACACGTGGAAGAAAGCGGAGCTGAACGATGAGACGAAAGCTCGCATCGCCGCCTACTGGTGTAACGAGGACGAGCTGGAGGGCAAGCCTATCGCCGACTCGAAGGTGTTTAAGTAAGAATAGACAGCGTTGAAGCGTCGCGAGCTCGTCAAGGCATCGACACATGAATAGTCATGTAAATTTTTGCGGTGTCGTACGTCGTCGTAGCTACGGCTGGTAGTTAGGAAGGAAAGAAATGGATGATTGTGCACCTCTTGAGAATAGTTTGTATTGATCTGTTGATTGCAAGAAATGAAGAGTCAAGGTCTTATGACCAAGTTCTTCCTTCCTCCATTCGAAAGTAATCCGAACGAAGACACAAGATGTCCTTCAAATGAGAAATACTTCACTATAACACCAGTACTTGATCTACAAATCATGATCTACCTTCAAAAAGTGACAATGATCGGGTCTAGACACCACCATTCACTCTCCGATCAAAAAAGACGTGACCGTCTTGTCAAATTCCAGCATCACTTGCAAGTCTGGTACATGATGACATCGGTGTACGCCAAAGCGGCAGCGATCAATATTTTAGCCTTTGCATTACACAACAGAGCAAAGACCCACTACTCCCTCCGCATAACCGGATCTTGCATCTCGGTAAAGCTTTATATCGTCTCAAACACTAGCACATGCACGTAAACAACGCACCAGCCTTACGGATGCGATGTACGTCAGGCTTAATGCCATGCACCATCTCATACGATATGCCCAGTGAACCCTTGTTGTACACACGATGTTGATGTAAAGACGCTTGAGTCAGTTGAGTGCAAAGCAAATTGATGCCATTCCTCACATACTCGATCGTCATTCACAGTCTAGACACATACCACCTGCTTATCTTTACGCAAAGGCTCACTCTACACTCCATTCCACGTAAAACTACTTGCCCACCACAGGACTCGACTTCAAAGTCAGCAAACGTATTGTCACAAACGTCCAGCGGCTATCCATGAATATGAGCACAATCTCGATTGAAAGGCTCGAAAATAGTCGATATGCGTATACTTTTTGATTTGACTTCTTCGTAACTCATCGAGTTTTTTCTTCGAGATGTATGTTCCTCTGCAGAGCATGTGTCTTGTAGATGTCACGTTAGCACCATACAAAACACCATTCCTCTTTATCCACCATCGCTTAAAGGCAAGTGAGACAGAGCCTCTCATGTGATGTATCTCTCTCAACTTGTATCTGTGCTCAAAACGTCGCATCATCTGATCGCAAAGACATCTATGCACTACAAACAAGGCCAAAGACGAGATATCGAACAGATTTGCAGGACAGTGACACGCACTGTACAGCATCATTGGGTGGCCTAGGACGATAGGCAGTGCCATAAGCTCCAAGTCCTTCATTCAAGTTTTGACATTACAGTGTCATTGTCTCGACGCATTCAATCGAGACGAATAGAATGGCGGGTTTCTCTGCGTTATGGCGGACGAAGCCCTTGTCGGTGATCCAAGCCGAGGAGAACTCGCAAGACATCCCACACACATTAAATCTCTTCGACCTGTGCTGTATAGGCGTAGGAGGCACCATTGGCAGCGGTATTTTCTCCACGGCCGGATTAATTATCAGTGAGACAGCTGGCCCTGCTGCCGTAGTAAGCTGGCTTCTCGGCGGAATTATTTGCAGCCTCAACGCCTTTGCGTACATGGAATTATCGACGCGCGTGCCGTCCTCGGGAAGTACGTACGCTTACGCCTATTACACGATCGGTGAGCTGCCTGCTTTCATTGCTGCATGGCTGCTAACTCTCGAGTATGCTGTGTCTGGTGCGGGCGCGGCACGTAGCTGGGGAGACAAGGTGGAGGAGTGGCTGATGCTTGAGTATCCTGACAAGAGCTTCCAGTGGCTCAACTTGCAGTCTACTAATCTCAGCGGTGGACTCATCCAATTCTTGAGCATGGTGGTGCTACTGATGGGCGTGCAATTTGGCAAGGTCTTTGTGAACACGGTGACGATCTTCAAAATGAGTGTCGTGGCCTTTATTATCATCGTTGGATTTGCTGCCATGGATCCGGACAACATGTCACCCTTCATCCCCACAAGGATCGATCTTAATGGCACAATGGCCTTCGGGACACAAGGCATTATCACTGGCGCTTCGCAAGCATTCTTCGGATACGTTGGTTTCGATGAGGTTTGTTGCCTCGCCGGCGAGGCTCAGAACCCCAAAAAGATCATACCAATCGCTATTATGGCTGTCGTGGTCGCTACAATGGTGCTGAGTGCACTCTGCTCTCTTGTTTTGGCCGGTATGGTCACTTACCCCGATGCAGTTAGCTTTGGTGATGGATTTGAAAGTCACGGATGGAAATGGGCCGGTACATTCGTGCGTGCTGGTGAGGTGATTACCATGCCTGTCGTGTCACTCATTGGCTTCATGGCTCAGCCTCGCTTGAATTACGCGCTCGCTTGCGACGGACTTTTGCCGCGTATTTTCGCTGAAGTAAATTCCAAAGGCAACTTGTTCAAGAATACGCTTGTCACGGGTCTATTCTGTACGGTACTTGCCATCGTGGTGCCCTTTTCCACTCTATGGGACATTGTCAACTTTGGTGTCATGATGTCCTTCATCGTTGCCAATGTGTCGCTAACGTTAGCGCGTATGAAGCCCCAATCACCAAAACTGGCCCCAATTCTCGTCGCCGCACTGGTTGTTACGTCTGGATGTTCAGCCTTCCTGTTTCAAAAGGGGTACGAGAATAATTTGTCCACGATATGTCTGATTCTTGCCATCGTCTCTTTTGTAGCCACCATGGGAATCTCAGTGGTGCTCTTTGTCAAGTGCCCACAGACGGTTAATATGCCCGGTCTGTTCTCTGCTCCGCTCGTGCCGTTCATCCCAATGATCTGTATCCTCGCCAATTGGTACATGATTGCACAAATCAGTCCCCTGGCGCTAGGTCTTAGTGTCGCTTGGATGGCTGCCGGTGTGCTCTTGTACTTTGTCTATGGGTATTCTCACGCCGAGTCACGCAGTAACTGGAGCCGATTAATGGGCCGAAACCTCATCCACAATGGCGATCTCTCAGCTCCTATTCTCTCGGCCAAGACCACGATACAAGACCTACATTCACCCGCTGTTTAGGTACAAAAGACATTCCCAAAAATCTACAATAGACCAACCTGTGCAAACTGATAACCTCATGACCGAAAGGTTTTATGAGCTAGTGAAGGCTATCAGATAAGTCAACTTGACACCAAGTATATGGACATCTCCAACGTAGCAACTTAGACAGGTTATGAGTGAAGGCAGTATCATTTTAGACAAGTTCTACTGTATTCCGAAATTAGTCATATGCAATAATTAATCGTGCAACTTTTACATATTCAAAAATTTAAAAAAAAACACCCGTATTCTAATTTTTAGCAAAATACGAATAAATGACCACTTTCGCGATACTGACATCTCTCCCTCCACTTACTGCCTTCTAGACGAATGCCATGCGTAAGACCGTTAATCCGTTAAAGGCTGTACAGAGTGATCAGAGTGATCAGTCGTCTTGCGTAGAGAAGCAACAGCATTCACGTCACTACGTATCTACAGGTGCAAGTCCTGCTTCTCATATGCCCAATTTGTCGACTCTTTCGCCAATTTATCCACTCCCAACGTCTCCAAACTCTGCGGCTTCTTCGACGGCTTGTGACGACGCTATTGGCGACCTTTTTACGCGCTATTTACCGACATTCTTTGACTTTTTAGAGAATTTTCAATACGAAAAGGTCCATTTATCGTCCAGTTGCAATGTTTGAGGCTGTAGAAGGAGTTGATTATTAAGCGTGTCTTTGTTTTGTACTGCAGGCGCTGCAGATTCTGGAGGAAGAAGAAGAGACACAATGGAAAAGTTGGGATGCATTTAAAGTGATGCTGAAACTGGGGGCGTCGTGTGAGAGCACGTACGTCAATTGCTTGAATGAATTTATATTGTAATAGTGTTTCATAGAAGTTCTTTGTGTTGGAATAGGTATCATTTGATGAAGTATTTGGAGGCTGAATTGGTGCAGACAGATACGATTGAGAAAATGTATGACAAGTTGGTGCTACTGATGAATCATCTGGTAGATGAATTGAAGCCCATTGTGGCAAGACAGAGGCGACACTTTTCCGTCCATACTTCATCACCGAGTAGTAATACCGGGAGTAGGAATGAGAGTGTTAATGGAAGCTGTTTAGGCAGAGATGGAGACGAGAATGGGTATGGAATGGACCACATGCTTATGATGGACATCGCCACGTGCGGCGACATGAGCTACTACATTGAATTGCTTGAGCAAGGGGCTAAATTTTTCTCGGTGCGTGGCTAGATTGTTGCAGCTGAGAAAGCTGCCTTCATTGTAGATTAACTCGTTGCACGTGTTTATGCGTTTTCGTGTGAAGTTTGACTTTTTTGTGCATTACTTTGAAATTTGGAGCAGCTTCGTGGTCCAATGATACAGATATATCGTGGCCTGGCACTTTCGTCTGTGCCTCGCGACTACCATAGTGTAAGACAAGAGTTCTCGAGCAGATATGTTGCATGAAGAGTACTGCAGCTTATAAAAAATGTGATTGTATCTATTTAGATGCTGAAACGAATGGAATCCCTACTACTGTGCGTTGATACGTTCAACCACCCGCTACTCGAAACGATGAAGCAGTCGTTTATCGAAGAGCTGAAGACGGTGCATGCAGCTATTCAGTGTGAAATTCGGGTAGCGGAATACGATTTTACTCGCTCAATAGTGGCTCTGCATCGATTCAAGGTTCAGCTACGGTCCTGGAGCGATCACATTGATGCTGTTTCAGACTACCCGCTTTTCGAAGGCAGTGGCATAGATTTTGGCACCGGTGTTGACGGAGAGGGTCTGCTTCTTGATGAATCCGATGAGAACTACGGTATCACATCGGATTCAATGTACTCCAACACAAGCTACCAGTCTTGTTCGTCACATGCGCGCGATCATATACGGAACACGAGCATAAGCAATGATTTGTATAATGTCATTAGTGGCGCTTCAGGCGGAGCATCTTCATCTCTTGTGGAATCGTTGGCATCCTATAGTGAGCGGTTTGCCAACATTAGCCGTGCCCCATATGATGTTGCTGGAGAAATGGCCAAGCTCGAAAAATATCAGTCGGGTGTACCTTGCAATAGTAGTTCAAGTCCAGCTTTATCTGAAGCGCATAGTAGCTTCAGGCGCTTACTATCACACAGCAACGTGTTACGACGGAGTGTTGGATTGACGTCTGCTTTGCCCATTCGACATGGGTTTGTTCAGAAGCCAGGCGACCCGTACATCGGCTTGGGTGGCGAGAACTCCTCTCTACCAGCTAACGCACTAGAGCAAGCTATCTTAGGTGGTGAAGCAAGCAGTACGGGGGGAAGTGGAGGTGGTGCAGGCGCATCTTTCGGAACTAGCCAAGGTGCTTCAAATGGTGGAGGTATTGTTGGTGGTAGTACAAATCAAGTTGCTGCTGAAATGATGGCGTCCTCGATTAAAAACCAGGAACGTGACGATGGTTTTGCTCTACCCGTGTTTCAGTGGTCCAAGCGTTTTTATCGTTCACTTGTGGCCAAATTCACGCTTTACTTTCATCATTGGCTGGAGCCGTTCGAAAAGAAGACCGATTATCTGGCACTTGAGCTCTCTCGCTTCATCAAGACACCGCTTGGAATATCCTATCTACAATTGATGGACGTGTTGCTGTCTCGACGATGTAAGTAATAATTTGCTGTAATTTGTTAAATCAAGCGTTCGATTGACGTGAGATTATGTTGTGAACAGCCCACCGTGAGGACAGTCACGTGCGCGTTATGCTTATTCTTGAGACGCAAGCTCTTGAGAACAAGGGTGCACACTACTACAAAAACGGATATCGCTGTCCGAACTCGAGCAATGCGCTATATACTTCTACAGATCAAGAAAAGCAGGATAAACAGGAAGGGCAGGCGAAGCACAACAGTACTGTATCAGTTGGTTATGCTGACACCCTCGGCACTAGCAGTCCTTCTCCTGCATCTTCCAGAGGCGGAGGGGCATCGCCTGCAAATGGACGACGACGGTCTTTGGATCACCACGTAAACCACGCTTTGTTTATGCGGGTCGATCGTGAGGAAAATGAAGAACAGAACGATTTCTCTGAGCTTTGGGGCCTTCGTAGTTGGCCAGCAGTATTTTGCTATCCCGAAGGTTCGTTACCTCCGCTTGCCCATTGGCCGAACATTGTCAGCCTCATTATGGATAATCGCTCTTCACTTGATTCAGTTCGCCCCGTGTAAGTTTTCTCACGTACGAATCGAAAAATCTCCAACCGCGTACTCACGGCCCCGTTGTTATTATGAGCAGCTTCATGCATTCCGAGCGGCGACAAACGACGACGTATCACATTTCTCGAGTGGACGATGCCATGTACTTAGTTCTACTTGCAGAAGGAGTGAAGAAGTTCAGCGAAAAAGTTGCTCAGGTAAGGAATGCGCTCGCTATGACCACAAATTGTCTACGATTAATGTGTGGTGAATATGACGACCAGGACTTCATGCAAATTGTGACAGAAAACTTGCAGCACTCAGGAGTTTTTGCACCTCGCGTTTTGGTATCAACCGCACGAGCTTCGACATGAACAATTGGAAAGATTATCGAATGGCACTTTGTACTTCGTGCGTCCACGGACCGCATTTAGTTGACGCAATTGCCCAACGGTTTACGTAGGCTTAGAGGATATAAATGGGCTTTACGTCACTTGGTGAAAATATGTCATGGGTGTCCACACACTTGATCATTCCGTCGGAGCTTCGCTGAGTTAGCAGCTCAATGCCTTGTTTGCTATACACGCGACCATTGGGAAGTACAAAGGGTGGATTGTGCTCGTCCATGACACATCCCATTACTCGGCAAACCAGCCTTGAGTGCGGGTGGTACGCAAATGGAAGACCTGTGCACAACTGACTGCCCACTTCAGTGCATGCGGGGCAGATAGGTACTGGTGTCTCGGTACGAGCGTGCTTGCGTTTTTTGCTACCGGAAGCCTCCTGGCTACAGCTAGCGGAATCATTACTCTTTGGCTGCAATGCTGTGCTCGGCTTCAACTGAACCTCGCCATTCTCATTGCCACTATCTTCGTTACCATCACCGTTATCGCCTTCTTCTTTTTTTGGCGTCGCTTTTTGCTTTGAGATCCACTCTGGGACAGTCTAGCCTTTAGGTTTGAGTCTCGAATAAGGTGGCACGCTCGTGTGTTTAGCGTAGAGAGCCCGGCATGAAGCGCAATACATAGCGATGGTGGGTCGTGCATCCTATACACGTCGTTGAAAGTCTTGCGAAACATTTTTTCCAGCATCAACCATCGATCCACCGCAAAGACTCTTTCGTACGCCTCGATACTGCACTTTTCAGGCGACTCGAATGCCAACGTAGCCATGGCAATCTGAATTTCGCCAATCGCAGCATCACGAAGATCCTGGTTGTCCGGTTGGATTGCTAAAGGTGCAAGGTACGTACGCGCGTACTGAACAGCCTCCAATGGTTTACGCGAGCGTATGTACTCGACAAAATCTTGCAGTCGCAGGTGAAATTCCAGTAGTGACTGCAAACGCCGCAGCCGTGTGCCATTCTGTGAGCACCACGCAATCGCCTTTTCTGTATGAAAATCTCGCAAGTCCGTTAGCACCGCTTGGCATTCAGCATGAAGATCGTAATCTAGCAAGTAGCCGATATCTGCAGCAATCGACAAAGCAAATACACAAAGCGAGGGTGAGACTAAAGCTCAAGAGACTGTATTCATCCTGAAAAAAGCGCATACAACTCACTTACTTTTGTTGTCTTCCATTATCTTGGCACTCTTGAGATATCCTTGTCCAAGCAAATAGTCGGCAATAAGTCGATCGTTGATCGACCCTTCATCAGTTTGACATATAAACATGGAGGAGTCACCTCCAATCTTTGTATCTTGCTGTATCTTGAGGTATCTCGTGCGCTTGGCACAGTTCTCCAAGTCATTTTGTTGCTCCAGCACATTGCTCGTGGCACTCTGCTTCAAACTCTGCAAAGTCTTTGCCAGTTCAGTCAGCTTCTTGACCGCCGCGTCGATGTCGATTTGATGGTCTGGCTGCTGGTTATTGCCATTATCCAGTGCTTTGATTTGCGTCACAGCTTGCGCCAGCTCGCGTGTCAGCTGCTTGTGGTACAGACGGAAGCTCTTGTTGGCACGTTCAAAGGGCACACGCACGAGCGGGTAGCTGAGCTCCATGGTAGAAGAAAGAGGAAGAATCTTCAGGCTTTAGATAGGTCACTTGGATACTAAATAGACTTGTAAACTAATGCATCCAATACAAAAAGAGACAAGAAACAATAGCAGAAAACAATAGTCGTCAGGCGAGAGAGGCCGACTTTTTTTTCTCTTCTACTTGAAGCTGCACCAGTTTTTAGATGAAAGAATTAGGATGTAGAATTAGTTATCTGGGTGAATAAATTTTAATTACTATAATTGAATGTAACTAAAAGTGCTGGAACTGTATTAAAAAGTAGTACAGAATGTAGTACATAATGAGGTAGAAGGATATTTCTACAAGTAGAATAATGCAAGCTAACTTAATCGACAGGATGTCGAGATGCTGTAAAGACCACCGCCTGATAACATTGGCCCTGTAAGCGATCTGTCGTGATGGTGGAAAAGCATTTGCAACACAAAGGTTTTCACCTGCGGGTTATGGAAAACTTGACACTTCCAACATTAGCTCATGTCCTGATTGCGCGCAGCAATCTGCATTCAAACCGTAACGATGAAGTAGTTGCGTGAACATGTCCGTGTATGTAACACATACGTTTAATATCTGGCAGTGCCGAATGGTCGACTAGTGAACGCATCATTACACTTTGCGTTTGCATAACCCGATAGTACATTCCAGTAGGTACAAGCCTAACTATCCTCAGCACTTGCAAATTCCTGTTTCTTTGACAATTTTTTTTGTAAAAGATAAGATGTTCCCAGCGAAGTTGGCGTCATGGATGTCTTGGATGTCGCAATGGATGCAATCGAAAAGAGCATGCGGAAGCTGCACATTTTTAAGTCCATTCACTTCAGCGTAAAGTGGAGAGATAAGTTATGTAGACATTTAACTCATTGTCTGTCATTAGTAAAGCTGGAGTTGTGCGCAAATATGTTTGCTGAAAGCAAAACTCTTGCCGAATCTCCTATCGAATAGGTACCAAAGGACATTCAAAGAAATGATCTGGCCGCAGAATGAATCGAGACGGCCATCGCAATGGGGAGTTTCTCTCGCCGGGGTGATCTTCTTTCTAGCTCACTGCAACTTTAGCGAGTGTCGCCATCCGCAAGAAGCTCCAAGTACAGGTCATACTCGTAGGAGCTTGCTCCCATAGCATACCAAGCGAACGCTGATTCCGTCTGGGGGCCGTTGAGCTGCACATGGCAAAGGTAGCAATCATTCTATCGTACACGTCCAGGCTTTGATGCCAGATTCGAGCTCTACATCATTACTTGCTCTATCAGACACGAACAAGGTTGTCATGCATCGAAAATGGATACGTACCAATAATTAAGATGGCAACTTGGCAGTTTAGCGTCACCACCATTTCTTGCATGGGGACTTCATTCGGTTTGGGATGTCATGTTTTTTACATAGTGTGTGGTTTGAGACTCGATCGGTATGTCAAAAGACGACGTCTGAGGCCTGAGTTGGTCGGGTTGTTGGGTAAGGTAATGAACATGCTTCGAGTAGTTGCGCTTGGCTTTGTTTCATATCAACAATCAAGCGTCTGCAAACCCAAATAAAGATTGCGCTATCCGTCGGGGCACGTCGTGGGAGACAGTGCGTACTTCTTTGCCATCAACATTTCAGCGCCACTCTGTAGGCAGCAAAATGGCGATAGCCTTCCTTTTTCACCGCAATTCAGATTTGTGTAATCTTCGCGATTCTTCTCGCGAGACTACAATCTGTCTTGCCCGTACTTCTAACGAAAACATCCGCGCCAGTCATTCCAATTATTCAATGTCAACTCAGCTGACAAGCTCCAAAACTTTTGAACTTATCTCATCACTATGCACATCGCTTTGGCCAGGATGTTTGCTTTCTCACAGTAGTCTGCGCCTACTTCTGGTGGCAGAATACAATTCACTGAAAACCATCGTCACAAACACAACATTTTCTTCATTCCTGGAATCACAGCAGCGCCCTAGTTGCTACTTTTTGGCGTGCTCATGATGCTGACTTCTTTCAACCAAGCGGTCAGTTTACCTCTGGTGCTGCTGCAACAGGGAGGTGACGGAATCTTGTGAAATACAGCAACTAGTTCAAATGGGAAGGGTCATTCCGCGGTGGCTAAAGGGCCATACACTGAAGTACATGAGCGTAATAAAGAGCAGTGATTCCACAAAAGATTAGAGAGTGATGATCGACAACATCTTGCAATGTATACGATGCCGTCACCCGTAGACAAACATTGCGCAAGGCTGATGACTCGTATCTGTACAGCGTTTCTAGACACCGAGTAAGCCAAATAATCGTAGATGCGTGCTTCGTGTTATTCTTTATGTGAGCCCGTCGTTCCGACGGACACGGTGCGCGAAGTAGTCTATTGATTGGCCCATCATTAACCTTTAAATATGCGGTTGACTCAGGTAAATTGATAAGCATGAAAGTCAATGTATATTGACGTCAATGTGTTACTGACGTTCCGCAGATCAATGTGTACCCGTCGTTCAGACGGACATGGCGCACGAAGTCTATGGGCTCATAACTCTAACGCAATACTTTCAGCCTGTGTGTAGCTTTTTGATGCAGCCCATCGTTCCGACGGATAGGTACGCAAATTCTACGCTGATAGTATGGTAGTATATGGATCGGTCCATCATTTTACCTTAGAATATCCGGTTGACTCATGTAAATTGATACCGGCGAAAGTCTATGTGTACTTGTCGTTCGCAGACGCAAGAGCAGTTCATTACATTGTTAACGAGATAAAGGTCACTTCAACATTTTCCTTCTTATTTCGTAAGATAACGTGGCCAATAAAGCATTCCCTTATGTTGGACTTGCCGGGCGAAAGCAACACTTATAAGCAAGCCACCAGGACTTCTGCAATGCCTGACCGTACAATTAGTAGGACCTCAATAATACCACGGTAGAATCAATCGAGGAAATAAATGACCTTTTGTGTTACCTCTCTTACTGTGTCGCTAATTCGAAAGGTGAAGAGACTTAAAAGTGTTCTTTGTTTTTTCCATCATACTACTGTACACACTGCATAGAGTAGTAGTGTGACGACCAGGTAGTCATAGTACATACATTGCAAATCTTAAATTTTAATCTACATGTGGAATTTTTGCTGATTCCGGTATCATGCAGAACCAGATGTTTCTCTGACAAGTGACGACGCATAATTGTTTGCAAACACACACACATGTCTCATGGCATGACATCAACATATACGTGTAGATCTATCGCCAATCACTGGCTGTCAAATTTAAACCATACAATCGTATGGTGCCAGGAATTTCATCCCAAATCTCTGACCAAATGCATCAATTTATAGAGACATTTTTTAAAACTTGGGAAAACATGGTCCGATAAGAGGGGCACAATTCGTACTCTAGCATAATACTATAGCAACACAACAATGTGTTGTTCTGTATGTTACTTCTCGCAACCCATTGTATTAAGAATATGTACATGCTCTGTACAGGTGATGGCTTGTCGAGACTAAACATGACACAAAGGAGTAATCATGGGCGACGTCTACTCTTGTCATTGTATGACTACAATACCATATGGGCTCTCATCAAGCTAAGCCATGGCCCATAGGTCAGCTTGGTGGAGAGCCAGGTGACAAATACATGTACAGGTGCATGATTCGTCTTTCTATACAGGAAAACACAAAGATGCTGACAGAAAAGCTTGGATGATCCGCTTCAGCTGATGCGACAGACGATATTTAGTCCTAGAGTCACTCTGCATTTTGCGTCAACGCCACGCACTTTTAGCTTCACAGCGGGGTTTGAACGAGTATCCGCAATAGTTCGTCCTCTTTTCTGTCATGAACTTTTTGAACCATGGCAATAGTAATATCTCCCGATTATCCGTGGTCTCCATTACACGTGAAGATTCCCAATACACCAACATCGAGTCGCCTACACACGCGCTGGTTCACACCACCAATGGCAAAATGGCGTTAGATTTACAAGAAAAAAGCTCGCTGAATTTGGCCCACATCACGAATGCACTCATGTACGGTATCATCAACTCCATCCTGACCATCCCCACCATGTATGGATATGCCGTCATTCTCTTCAGCCACAAAGACTTTGCAGACTTCATGCCGGCACTCTCCAAGCTTGTCATCTATTCCAGCGCTGTGCATCAAATTATGTTCACACTCATGAGCTCCTTGCCGTTTTCCATTGGACAAGTGCAAGATGCCGGGCTCATTTTCCTTAGTACCATGGCCACCTCCATCTGCAATTCATTGGGCGAAGACGTGCCAGTGGAGGCCAAGGTGACTACTTCTATCGTCGTAATCGGTATCGCCACGGCATCATTGGGGGTGTGTCGTGTGGTCGCGGGCAAACTCAAGCTGGCCGCGCTGGCGTCGTACTTGCCAATGCCCGTTATTGGAGGATACCTTGCTTTCATTGGCATTTTCTGCTTTTACGCTGGACTTGCGCTGTGCACAGGTCTCGTCGTCAATAATTTCGAGTCCATGATCAGTGTCTTTGACAATGCACACGACGTTCTGCTCTGCGTGCCCGGTATTATTGGTGGTGCGTTCCTGCTCATCGTATCGCAGCGCTACGACAATTCGTTCATCCTGTCCGGATCAATCTTGATCATGCCCATCGTGTTCTTCTTCATTCTGTTGGTTGGTGGTATCTCGATGGACGACGCGCGCGACGGTGGCTGGATCGGCCCTGCCAAAGACCCTGTCACCGTTTCGGAACTGATCGGTCTCTTTGACTTCTCCTTGGTCCACTGGGATCAACTGCCAAAGCAACTCGGAACGTGGGTCGGCATGGCGTTCATCGTGTCGTTCTCGTCTTGCTTGGATATCGCTGCTATTGAGCTCGACATGGGCAAGAAACTTGATTTCAATCACGAGCTCAAAACTGTTGGCTGGTCGAACGTCGTCAGCGGTCTGCTGGGCGGCTATACGGGGTCGTATATTTTCTCGCAAACCATCTTTACCTACCGTTCCAAGACGAACTCTCGCATCGTTGGTGTTTGCGTGATTGTCTCGGAACTTACGATCGTGCTGGCTCCTGTGTCCTTCATGAGTTATGTGCCGCGCTTCTTCTTCGCAGCCACGCTCATTTTCATTGCCATTGATCTCATGATCGAGTGGCTCGTACTTACCTTCAACAAGATGTCGCTGCGCGAGTACGCGGTGCTATGGATGACATTCATCGCCGTAAACCTCGTGGCGCTCGACAAAGGTATGCTCATTGGATCGGGTATTGCGATTGTCAACTTCTTACTAGGCTATATTCGCCAGCCCGTTGTAATCTGGAAACCTCGTTCTTCTGGCACAGCTCGTACTCTTGAAGAGCGTCGATTGCTTCATGACATGTGTGGTACCATCGCGTCTTTCGAGTTCAGCGGCTTCCTTTTCTTCGGCTCGTCAGTGCAGATCCTCGACCGCGTCCAGAAGGCCGTGTACGTTCGCAAGGAAATACCAGATGATATTGGTGACGTTGGAGCAGACTACGTCAGTGGCGGGAACATGTCGCTCACACCCAACGAACACCGGACACCGTTGATTGAGTGTCTCGATGGAGCTCCTGCTACAGACCCCGACGCCAAACCGACCGAGTACGTCGTGATGGACTTCACCAACGTCACGGCAATGGACGCCACGACCGCACGTAGCGCATTTCTCATTCTACAGAAGTACTGCAGTAATCACGATATCACCGTCGTGTATGCCGCAGCGCTTCCTCAGATCCGCAGTATGTTGGTGAAAAACGACATCGTGGGCGATGATAGTTTCTTTTCAAGCTCTGAGTCAGCTCTCGAGTTCTGTGAGAACGAGCTCCTGGCCAGTACCATGGGTGTAGTTCGCAAGAGCAGCTTCCGTGACGAGTCTAGCAGGCAGCTAATGCAGCTTTTTACCGGCGAGTCCGACGATTCGCAGATTCCGAGCATTGACGATAAGTTGTTTGATAAACGTGAGGTGCCCGCCGGCCATGAATTTTACAACGTTGGGGAGTCAGCGGACCGCTTCTACTTCCTCGCAAGCGGTTGTGTCACGCTCAGCAGAAACAACGGATTGGATGGGAGTGTTGATACCGTCATGACGGGGTCCCTGTTCGGTGAAGTAGACTTTTTTGGTCACCAAGAGCGGCAATTGGTGGCATTCGCGAGGGAACCATGCACTGTGTTTGAGATGAGACGTGAGAGGTACGAGATGATGCAGGAGCAGAATCCAGCCTTGCTGACGCGGATTCGCGACGTAGTGATGCAGTCAATGGCAGTCTCACTCAGCAATGCCATGAATCATATAAGCAGTAGTACGAGAAGCTCAACGACATCGCTATGCGGGTAAAATGGTTCAAGTCTATCTTATTTTGCAACTACAGCGTGGTCGGAATTGTCAGCACCGAAAGGATCAAGTTCGGTTTGCCTCTTCAGATAGGCGTACACCTGAGTATACAAGTGCTGCTCTTGTTACTTAGCAATTGCGACATTGTCCAAGTCGACGTCAAGGTGATTGAGCAACACATATGCTGGATTGCCTGGCAGAAGTCAAGGGCAAGGATCAATCGATGTTAACGTGTGTAACGGGGCGAGCCCGTTACATAATATTGACACTTATATGAAGTGTCAATAAAATATTATTATAACTAATAATATTTTGACAATATTATCTTTTCTTATAATATTGTTCCTAGATCTCCTTGAAGTTGGAGATGCCCTCTCATTGGTTGATATGGGCCATCATATCAACCAACGCGCTGACCAAGGACCGATGGACGCGCGCAATGAGTGGAGGGCAAGTCGTCAACATACATAGTTGTAGTTTGATATAGTTAACATAGGTTATAACAGATTAGTTTTATTAAGATAGTTAACTATATTAAATACAGTTCTCTTTTCCTCTACTTCTAAGCGTTTGTTTAGAAGTAAAGCTTCCTCTGCCTCTTGTGTAAGAGAGGTAATTGAGGCACCTGCTTTCACTGTAATCAGTGAAAGTAGACTATACTGTAATCAGTATAGTCGGAGGGTGCCCCGTTACACCTGGTAGCACTTCGTGGTCCGTTCAGCGACCACCGCACCACCCGCTATGGAATCAGCGGGTGATGAACGTCATCACGCAACGCGTGATGATGTTCCGCCATTTGAGTGACCTCGAATGGAATGCGGTTCAGCGTATGGCTGAAACCATCGGCAACCCTTCCGTTGGTGCCATGTTGCTCTCTCTTAGCGGAGACGACCAACATGCAACCATCGCCAAGTTCATACAACATGAACTTGACGAAGTTGTAAAGAAACTCACCTTGCTAGAGGAGCAAGGTTCTCAACAGGTTGAACTGCTGAGAGAACAAGGCGCTCAACAAGCTGACTTGTTGATGCAGCAGGGTGCTCAACAGTCTGAACTGTTGAGACAACAGCAGGCTAGTGCTGTTGCTGCCGGGTCGGCGTATACACGTCGACCCGAGTCCTTGAAGATTGATGTCTCCAAGTACAAGAAAGTCGAAAGCGACTCCTTGTTGAGATGGTTCGTCGAGCTCGACGATGCCATTGAGGATCGTCTCATCGATGACGATGCGATGAAGGTCAAGTTCGCCATGTCGAACTTGGCAGGACGTGCCAAAGCTTGGGCCTTAGGGCTCAAACTGCACGACCCATACGTTTTCCCAACGTATGACGTCTTCAAGGCGCGGCTCAAACACACGTTTGAACCGCCTCGCGCCGAATTCAGGGCTCGGGCTGAGCTCCTGGATTTGAAACAGGGTAAGCGTGATATACACGCTTACGCCCAACACGTGCGATACCTCGTTAGTTGTATCGTACTGAACCCAATAGATGAACACACGCAGGTTACTGTGTTCATCAAGGGTCTGACAGATGGTCCTGTCAAGACCCACCTGTTCCGCTTGGAATTAGAATCGCTGGATCAAGCGATCTCTGCAGCGGAACAGGAGGACTTTAGCCTACAACAGGCTCACTTCCACTCGGGATCCTATCGTCCACCGAGACGACAGGAGGGCGGAGGTCCAGAACCAATGGACCTCTCCTATGTAGAGAGCGAGCGACCTCGCTCTCCAGGGTACAAGCGATTGCAAAAGTGCAATCGCTGTCAGAAGTTGGGCCACTACGCTTATGAGTGTAGTGCCCCACTCCCAGTGTCTCGTAACACTGGGAGTGACGATCGACCGTCTGCCAAGAAGGGCCAGAGACGTGGGTCCCACGTTGCTGCGAAATCGCAACAACGTGGTGGACCATCAAAAAACGGTCGGGTTCAGTAGGGGCGGAGCGCCCTACTGATCCAGCAACGTCAAGAGAGTTCGCGGGACTCTTGACGAAGGTTGCTCCCAACACACAGTCACTGTGTGTTGCCGCTCCCAGTGATGAGGTATCCCTCATCACATTGAAGATCGAAGTGACAAAGAACATGTCACTTCGCGCCCTAGTTGATTGTGGGGCTTCGAACAACTTTGTTCGACGCCAATCGCTAGATGATCGTAGGCTCAAATATGTTGAGCGCGAGAACCCTCCAACGAGGATGACGGTGCGCCTTGCAACTGGCGCATCCGTAACAGTAAAGAAACGTGTAGTGGGAATTCACTACACGCTTGAAGGCAAAAAGTACGATGATGATTTCATCGTACTTGATCTGGATGACAAATTTGATATCATCCTAGGATTACCATGGCTCAGAAGGTACGAGCCATGGGTCAGCTGGCAGCATCGAACCGTGAAGATGCCTGCCGCTTGTTCATCAGATGGCCATCTGATGAACGTCTTGGAGCGTTCACAAGCGTTTGAATGTACTACGAGTGAGTTTTATGGCCTCACTTGTGGTTCGGTCGTTAGTACGACTGCACAAGAACTCAGCGTGACAGACAGTCACGCTGTGGAGCAAGCTGCCGGCGGCTGTGCACAAGCACAGGCAGCGCCGAAGGTCCACCACTCGAATAAGTCGAGTGGACCGGGACATGAATGCTCGCTTAGAGGGCAGCATTCACCGAAGAGTAAACCGGTTGCCCAGAAGCGGCAACACGGTAATCCTAGATCAACTGGAGAGTTGATCGTAGAGGATCTCGCTGTGGTTGCGCCATTACAGCTAGAGGAAGTCGATGGAACAAGTTCCATCGAGTCTGCGGGAATAAGTCCCCAGGAAATAATCACTGAGAGAATAAGTCCCCAGTGCCCTGAGGGAATAAGTCCCCAGGAAGTAACCGAGACGTTGAACGTCTTGGTTAATGACGGATCAAACGTAGGCGCTTATACGCTTGATCTGATCGCGCCTCCGAAGTTAACTTCGGAGATAACTCAGTTGCCTACGCTAGAACCTAAAAGGTTCTTGCGTGATCTGCGTAGTGGCAAAGTCAAGCAGATCTGTGTGCTCGTCGCAGAAGACGAGTACATGACTGACATTCGGTCAGCAACAGTTTTTGCCGAGAACGAACGGGTTCTCAGCAGCTCATCAATGGAAGAAAGTGTCCTTGATGAGAAGACTCGGATTGAGCGATATACATCGCAATCCTGGGAGTCGCTGAAGTCAAATCCTTTGTACAAGGATTTGGTCGAATTCAAGGATGTATTCCCTGAATCCGTTCCGTGCGAGTTACCTAAGGATAAAGGTACTCGACACGAGATCGACCTTGTTCCTGGCACAAAATATTGTGTCATGAAGCAGTGGCCACTGCCTCGGTAACAGGTCAAGGCGATCGACAAGTCCTTTGCCGATCGCCTAGCAGCGGGCCATGTGAGGGAGTCAACCTCACCTCACAGCTCTCCGACCTTCTGTGTGCGCAAGGCCACAAGAGGGTGGCGGATAGTGCACGCGTTCAATAAGTTGAACGCTGCAACGATACCGGCGCAAACGCCGATACCGAGAAAGGACGTAATCATAGATGGTATGTGTAACGGGGCTAGAACGTACCGCTACTAGCTTACACGTGCGCTTGAGGAAGACTCAAGCCCAAGTATTAGGTATTAAGTAAATTTAACTCTGATTTTTATTTTGGTTTTAATTCGTACTAATTACGAAGATTTTAGTCGTAATAAATACGACAGTGTTCCCGCCTTTCGGGAACCACACAATTTCAGGTTGATTTATCATTGGTCTATATTGGGGACTTTAGGCCCAATAATAAACCAATGATAAATTACCACGCTGTGCCCGCTATTCGGGCCCAGCACCTGCCTACATATGTAATTGTTTATTCATATTAATACTATGTAATGTAGCCCATTACATCACCCCCTTCTCATGACAGCACTCACCAACCGTGAGTGCTCAACTGTCGAAAACCCTTTGCTCACAAACGAACAAGCAATGTCTGGAGACCCAACACCCAATCCAGCAGGACGCCCAAGATACATCAGCGGGAATGCATCAACCAGCATCATGGCGCGGCAGCTCATACCTTGGTCGCTGTACGACTTGTCCGGAGCTCACGCTCCGGACTCACTGGACATGATGCGGAAATACTTCCGCCGATTTCGAAAACTGCGCGGGAAAGGTCTTGATGGAATCGAGCATGAAGCTCTACAACGTTCTTGGTGCGCCTTCATCCAACGTTGGAATCGGATGCTCGAGGATGGTAGCAACTTCCAGTTATGGCTCACCAATCGAGAGGAACTTCGCGCCGATCACTCCATCGGCGCGCTACGCGAAAGAGTGTGTGAGGAAGCTTGGAATGAGGACCGTCTCTGCTTCGTCCATGTCAATGAAGGGTGCCGATCTTGTGACTCGACTCCACGCCCAACTCATGACGAATGGCGACGACACATCGCTGAGTGTCCACTCAGCGATCGCGAACGAAGTTGGATTGCAAAGTATGAGCGAAGTCTGGGCGAACGGAGAAGCGCAGTTATTCGTGGTGCGCCTCGCTGGCAGCACCACTCGCGACAGCGGAGTCAATCTCCGCGGGATCATCAGCGCAGGGCAGCGACACGTTCGCTTGTCCGTCCTGCTTCGCGATTCTCGCCTCGCAATCGTGATATGTATTCACCGCGACGTTCTCGTTCACGGCGTCGTTCTCGTTCGCGACATCGTTCTCGTTCTGGTCATCGTTCCCGTTCCCGACAACGTGAATCTCCTTACCGCTCTCGTTTGTCACGAGAGCGTTCGCGTGCTCGCCCGCCTTGGAATAGTCCGACTTCGTGGCTTCATACGACAGAACCACATCTGGAACGTCACGAAGGAGCGAGGAACGTGGTTCCCATGTATCCTGCTCGGGAGGGAATCCAAGCCAACGTACTCGGTACCTACGCACGGATGGAACCGCACGCTTCTCATGAGCCGACTGCAGTAATGGTTGAGGAGGGTCCTCGTGACCCACAATGCGGTCTACAATCCAGCGCACATGTCCC